AGACAACCACTACTGACCTTGATGTGTGCCTTCTAATCCTTATTTTAATACTTTTACATATAAATATATGTATGACTTAAAAAAAAACCAAATATAAAAAATAATTTGTTTTAAAAATATTAAATGGTTTCATGCTACAGCTTCCTTTTCTCACTTGATGTTATTTTAAAGCTGATGTTGATACATATGTAATTAATTACTGCTAATATACTAGTCTCTTGCACATATGTGTTAATATTTTATTCATTTAGTCCTCTACTGATGGCCATTACGTTTCCAATTTTTCACTATTAATATGTTTTCCTGTAATACATCTCTTCCTATACACATCTTTTGGAAGAAAAGCTTGTGTTTCTTGGGGGTACAACACTCATTTTCCATTTTTTTTTTAATCCTCACCCGAGGATATTTTTCCATTTTTTGTTCAGATAGAGTGGGAAGGAGAGAGGGAGAGAGGGGGAAAGAGGGAGAGAGGGGGAAAGAGGGAGAGAGAGGGAGAGAGAAAGAGAAACATCGATATGAAAGGGACACATCAAGTGACTGCCAACTAGGGCCGGGGACAAACTGTAACTGAGTTATGTGCCCTTAGCGGGAACCGAACCCGGGTCTCTCTGGACCGCAGGCCAACGCTCTAACCACTGAGCCAAACCAGCCAGGGCAAATTGTGAGGTTTTATCCCCAAATTATTTTTAATCATCTTATATTCTGAATGTGGTCTGTGAGTAAACATCAGACCACAACTTCCTCTTTGTGCTTCCTTGATTTAATATTTAGTAATGTTTCTAATAAAGCTAAATGAAAAATTATACTATAAATATTATACTGACATTAAAAGTCCTGCAAAGAAATGATACAATGAATTTGACTGTTCCTGAAATTTGTTTAGTAACAATAGTCTTGGCCCTTAGGCTGAATCAATGACTGTCAGGTGAGAAACTGATAAACATACTATATGAACCTTGATTTCTAAGAGTAAGTCTGTAATTATCTACCATTAGAGTAGCTTTGCTCTCTTCAGGTAAACCTAGGAATTCAAAATGATCGTTCACTGAGGAAAGAAGACAACCACACAGGAAAAATGTCACCCATCCACAGTCTGCTCATAGTCTGTAATCCAATAAAGGTGACACATTTGAGAGTCCTATTGATTTAACTTTCCTAATGACTAAAGATTTTATCATATGAGTGACCTAAACCCCAGCACTTTATACAATGAGTTAGTATGCTCTTATTCTGCTTATGCCCTGGGACTTTAGAATACATTTTGGAAAGTAGAAAGATCACCTTCAACAGCATCTGGAAAACATTTACAGGGCAGACTATTTTGAAATGAGGGCTTTGCAAAAGTCTATTATTAACGGCTATTTAAATAGTCTATGGACTTTGTGAAACAATGGTGGAGGACAGGGGAGGAGGAACCAAACATTTAAAAGTTAAGTTTAAATAACTGCAAAGGATGGCATTTCCAGTATAATATAAATATCAACATTTTAACATTTCTTTTGTTGTTGTCGGAAATTTTCTTTTAAAGCATCTGTTCTTGTTTCATGGGTAGAAAAATCTTTCATTGGTGAAGAAACCGACAGGTGTTTTTTGGGTGGGAGGATTATCTCTTCTTGCATTGTGTTTGTTTATTCCTAGTTGCCTTTCCCCCACTTCTCATTTGCTTTGGTCTCTCTCATTGGCATCAGAGACTTTCCTTCTGATGTGTGGGGTGAGCCAGAGATAATCTGTTTTACTCAGACTGAGTGAGGGACTAAAAAACTATCTGAAAACTTTAGCACAGATGGGCTGCTTGTTGCTGAACTTCCCTGAACAGTGATCTAGGGGGATTCCCTGATGTTACCACCTTTGGGTCTTTCCTCTTGGCTGGTAAGATTCCTCACAGAAGACTCTTCCAATGTTGTGTGTGAAGAGGAAGGTTTGGCCGCCAGCGTTCTGGGAACCAAATGAAAAGAGAGTGCTGAGGAACTCTCCATTCATCATTCAGGGAGCATTCAGTCCCCAGTTCTAGTGAAGTATCCATGTCCATGTGCCCTGTCCAGAGACATTTGTTTTTCTCTAGAGAATAAACTTCCAGCCTACTGCCAGGGCAGGAATGAGACAGTCACCTGGATGGAGCACAGAGCAGGAGATGAGATTTTGAGAAGCTTTTCAGACAGGCCTTTTTATTTACATACTCTCCCTCTTCTGAGATACCTGGCAATGCCAATTCCTGAGACTTTTGAGGATTCTGTGGTCTAAATCAGGTTAGTTTTCATTTCCCCATTGCCAACTAATGATTTAGCATTTTGGGGTCTACTAAGTCCATGATTACTTCTCCATCTGCTTTCTAGCTTTTAAAATGTTGCGATCATTTCCTTCCCCTCGGTTATCTCCAACCTTATGTGTTCATGCTTAAAAAACAGTATTTTATTATAGTTTTAATGGAGTTTCAAAAGATGGCATAAATCTGTAACCTTATCTGAATCCCACATAGCCATTTTGTTTTTTCTGTCTTTAACTTTATTGCGGTAAACTATATATTGCATAAAATTTCCCATTTTAACCATTTTAAAATATACCCTAAGTATACTCGCAATGTTGTACATCCACTACCATCTATCCAAAAATTTTTATTACCCCCAAATTTTATTTCTTTTTTCTTAAAATTCTTTCAGCAGTGTTTTGTACTTTTTAGAGTACAATCTTTCACCTCCGTGGTAAAACTTATTCCTAGGTATTTTATTCTTTTGGATACTATAGAAAGTTTTTTCTTTTTAATTAATTAATTAATTATTAAAAAATTAAATTTACTGGGCTCTGGCCAATGTGGCTTAATGGCTAGAGCATTGACCTGTGCATCAAAGGGTCTCAGGTTTGATTCCCGGTCAAGGGCACATACCTGGGTTGGAGGTTCACTCCCTGGCCCCAGTTGGGGCATGTGCAAGAGGCAACCAGTGTGTCTCTCTCACATCAATGTTTCTCTCTCTCCCTTTCCCTCCCTCCCTCCCTCTCTTCCACTCTCTCTAAAAAAATCAATGGAAAAAATATCCTCAGTGAGGATTAACAACAAAAAAAGTTAAATTTATTGTGGTAATAATGTTTAATCACAGTATATAAAATTCAGGGTACAGCTTTATAATATGACATCTGTATACTCTAGTGTGTGCTCACCACCTGAAGTCTAGTCTCCTTCTATCATCTTGTATTTGAACGCCTTTACCCTCCTCGTCCTCCCCCCACCCCCTTTCCCCTCTGGTAACCACCACACATAGCCATGTTCCACATTCATAGCCAGGTATACTCATTATATAGTGAGTGTTACTTAAAATGTAATTAAAGCATTTCAGAATAGATAAACAGATTGCAAAGGTTTATACTTATAGATCCCAAACTGAAAGCAATGGAAAAATACTGCCTCTTCACTGACTATCTCCCAGATTACAGAACTATTCTAATTTGAGAGTGTTCTTCCCTGCTGTCATTTCTTGTCTTAATCAACACTGGCATTTGACTGCCCCATCACTGTTTCTAAAAATAATTTTTATTACTATTCTTTGCTGCCTCTGTTTATAGCAAAAGCCTTTCCCCCTCTGCAATCCTTTTATTACTTCGTAGACTTTTTTCCCTTTCCATGACATTTCTCAATTTTGGTATGAGAAGGATTTGGCTTCTTTTTCTTCTCAAAGGTAAACTTAACAATAATATTCAGTTAATCCTTCTTCATTTATTTCTTTCACAGATATGTATTGTGTACCTATCAAAGGCCAGGCCCTGTTCTAGGCATTAGGGATAAAACAATGAATAAAACAAAAACCCTGCTCTCATATAGCTTCTCTTCTAGTGGGAGTGACAGACAATAAACAAATATGTCATATGAAGTTGGGTGTTAAAATTACAAAAACAAAGATGGGGTACAGAGAATGACAGGGTGGGGTAGGGATATTAGTTATATAAGGCAGCAATTTTCAACCATTTTCATCTCATGGCACACATAAACTAACTACTAAAATTTTGTGGCACACCAAAATATATATATATTTCCCAATCTGACAAAAAGAAATAGGTATAATTTTGATTCATTCACACCAGATGGCTGTTGTTGTTTGCTATTGCCATTATTTTTATTTGACAATCTAAAGGAAAAAAGGTCAGTGCCCTTGACTAAATAGTCAGGTATTACGTTTTAAATTTCTTTTGGCATACTGGTTGAAAATTGCTGATGTAAGGTGATCAGAGAAGGCTTCCTTTAAATGGCAACATTTGAACAGCGATATGGGGAGAAAAGCTTTAGGGATACTTGTGGTATGAATATCCCAAAGGGAAAATAACAAGTACAAAGGCTCTGAGGAAGGCAGGCACTTGGTGGGGGAGGAGGGTGAAGAATAAGCTTTGTTTCTCTGTCAACGATTACTATTTTTGCCATGGTTTACCCTTCATAAAATTTTAATATAACCTTTCAGATTGGAACAGATTCAGATTCTGGCCTATGATACATTTTGTAGTTACTTTTTATCTTTTAAATTGCAGAGCTTAATTCAGTGGATATGAACAACTCAACTTGAAATGCTCAAAAAGGATCAGAATACAGATTTTCATTTTACTTTATTATTTGCAAATTACCATTTTGCAATAGAAAATATAGGCACTTGGAGAAAACATCTGAAAAGATAACTAACAATTATTTTATATACTTCTATTAACTGCTAATGATTTTTTAGTGGTCTTTTGCTCACCCTTTTGTTGTCTGAACCATTATTGCTTAGCTAAATCATTACATGCAAAACATAAATTTACAGCCACGTATTTATTATCAAATATTTTGTATGTTTTGAAGATTGTAGTACAGACTATTTTATTTCTTAGTATCATATCACAAGCCATTAGTTAAAAGTGTCCATATGTTGTTAGGTAGTAATTAAAAAAGCAATCCAAAAGGTTATCAGTTAACGTCTTTAAAACACCCTCAATGGTCTTCAAAAGTAATTTACCAAGAGATTTAACAGAATGGAACTTACTCCATGCCCTGTGCAGTCTGTCGTGCAATATCTATAAGTTTGATCATCTCAAATTTGGTCTCAATGATGTGGAGATGGTGATATAGGCTGGAGCCCTCACACCACTGGGTAACAATAGCCAGTTGTGGCTTTGTTGAATAGCCCATGAAGAGTAGAATATTCACATGTCGAGTTTTCCTATAAAAAGAAATGTGACATTAAAGAATAAATGTCGATAAACTTTAACAAATCTTAAACAAGAAGCCAAAGCAGTCTATTTATCAGTAAAATGTTGTCAGAAAAAGATATTTTTAGCCCTGGCCGGTTTGGTTCAGTGGTTAGAGCGTTGGCCTGCATGCGGTCCTGAGAGATCTGGGTTTGGTTCCCGCTAGGGGCGCGCGTACCTCGGTTGCAGTTTGTCCCCAGCCCTGGTCGGTTGTGTGGGTGGCAGCCACTCGATGTGTTCCTTTCACATCGATGTTTCTCTCTCTCTCTCTGTTCCTCTCTCTCCCTCCCACTCTACCTGAACAAAAAATGGAAAAATGTGCTCGGGTGAGGATAAAAAAAGAAAAAGATATTTTTAAAAAAGGCAAAAGGATTACTTTGGTAATTATCTAGTTTGACATTCTACTCTTTTGGGGGGGATGCAAATTAGAAAACCGTTATTTGAATAAACATGTCAAATTGAATTCATCAGGAAGCACAGGGCTTAACCCAAAGGAAACCAAAATAAGGAGTTCCCCTAAATTTTGACACATTTGCCATTTGACCAAAGACTAGTTCTGGTAGTGAGGTTACACACTGGGGGGGATATTTAAAATATTTAACAATTGGTAAGCTTTGGGGCCAACCAATCAGAATATACATCAGCAGTGACCAATCAGTATGGATGGATCCTTGCTGTGAGCATGAACCTCCCCACCCCCCCCCACCCCCCCCGACTGGAGAGCAGGGCCTGGTCTCCCCAGAGGTATTTATTTTATTTATTTATTTAATTTTATTTTTTAATTGTTGAAAGTATTACAGATGTCCCCTCTTTTTTAATATACCAGACAGGCAACTAAAGGTTACTCAAATACCTTCAATTTTGGCAAGCTCATCACTGAGACTAATGCCGTTTCTCCCATTCTTTCTTTTTTTTTTTTAACTGGGGCTAGTTTTACAAAGGTTTTTTTGATTGAGAAAAAATCATTTTCCTACAACTCCCCCACTGGCTTCCCTGTTCTGCTTTCTGGAATAAGAGTCTGTACCCGTTAGAACATAAGCGCCTTCTATAAACCCAATATCCTCAGTTTTGTGGGTTACTTTCCCCCCTAAGTTACAGTATTAGAATCATCCCCATCTAAGTTGTCCTTGTCTATACATACTTCAGTTTATTAATGTTCTCAAGTTCCAGGCATGATATAATCTCTAAATGTGTCTTGAGAAGATTAAACTTTTGAGAGTATTATTTCCCATAGGTGGAAGTATTATTTCTCATAATCAGAATGCTACATTTCCACTAATTCACTCGAAGCTTAATCCTTTTATCAGACGTACAGTAAAATATTGCATACCACTTAAAAGAATATGGTTAAAGGCAACATTTACTCAGTCTGTTTTATCCATTTTGAGTACATTTTTATAGCTAACAGTGGCAACCACTGGAAAATAGAAGTTAAAGAAGATAACGTCTCTGGAAAACACTAATTCCCACTAACTCACCTGAGTACTCCTACTTCATTTTTGAAGGCCTGCAACTGCTGAGGTGTGGGTGCTGTCACATTCAACATTTTTACTGCCACATCACCTGTAAGGTAATTGTCATTCCAAATGTCATTCTCGTTTTTTAAATATAAAAATAAAAACTCTCGGGTATTTTCACTAATTACCACAGTCTTAAATCCACACCATTATTAAACTGTTTTATGGTGTAACTTATGATACAATAAATTATACCATACCTTCATTAATTGCATTAATTTTCTAAGGATAAAAACTAAACAATGATACTCATATTGATATTTAAAAATATCAATCCAAAAAATTTGCCAACCTTGTTTTTCTCTTGTGAATTTAACCAAGTACCCATGGTATTTTCCTGGTTACTTAACTATATTAAATTATACATATTTGCTGGGTCAGTGTGACTCAGTGGTTTGAGTGTCATCCCATGGACTGAGAGGTCCCAGTTCAACTCCCAGTCAGGGCACATGCCCAGGTTACGAGCTCAATCCTCAGAGTGTGGGTGGGGGTGGGCATGCAGGAGGCAGCCGATCAAAGTTTCTATTTCTTTCTCCCTTCCTCTCTCTCTTTAAAAAAATCAATAAATTAGACATATTTACTAACTAAATGTTAAAAATACAAATGACAGCCCTGGCTGGTTTGGCTCAGCCCAGTTTTGCTCAGTAGTTAGAGCGTCAGCCCGTGGAATGAAGGGTAGCAGGTTTGATTCTTGGTCAAGGGCATGTACCTGGGTTGAGGTTTGATCCCCGGCCCTGGTGGGGGTGGTATGGGAGGCAACCAATCGATGTTTCTCTCTCTCTCCCCCTCCCTCCCTCTCTCTAAAAATCAATGGAAAAATATCTTCAGGTGAAGATTAATAAAAAATAACAACAAACAAAAACTATAATTGACAGGCTCAATGGAGCTTGGTTGAAATAGAAAACTATAAAACTTCTTTTATCAGAGTAACTTTTTTTTTCAAATCTATGGATCATTTGTTGCTTTGCTTAGGAATGTTATTAAAACTAATCATTAATTTTAAAGAACATTATGTGAAACAGGCAGAACTCACACACAGTGACACTGAGTGTGTAAATGGTACAACCACTTGAAACACTGTTGGCAGTATCTACTAAAACTGAACACAGGCATATCTAGTAGCCCCACAATTCTTTCCCAAGTAATACCCAACAAAAACAGACACATATGTTCATCAAATGACATGTGTGCACTAAGAATACTCACAGCAGCAGCATTTGTAATAGGCCCAAACTATTCAAATGCTCATCACACAGCAGATAGAAAAAGGAATCATTTTATGGAATATTACATAGACCATGAATGACCTACAACTTCACACACAACAATATATATGAATTTTATAAGACAATGTTGAATGAAAGGGCCGAGACAAAAAGGAGTACATACTGTATGATTTCTGCTAAAATCAGGAGAGTGGTTTCCCTTGGGGGAAGAGGAAATGAGGAAGACTTCTATAATGCTGGTAATGTTGTTTACTGACTACAGATGTGTTCACTTTGTGAGATTTCAGCTACCTGAAGAATTATATGCACTTTTTTGTAAGTATATTGTACTTCTTTTTTTTTTTTTTATCCTCACCCGAGGACATTTTTCCATTTTTTGTTCAGATAGAGCGGGAGGGAGAGAGAGAGAGAAACATCGACGTGAAGGGACACATCGAGTGGCTGCCACCCTCACGACCAACCAGGGCCGGGGACAATCTGCAACCGAGGTACGCGCCCTTAGCGGAAACCGAACCCGGGTCTCTCTGGACCGCAGGCCGACGCTCCAACCGCTGAGCCAAACCGGCCAGGGCTGTACTTCTTTATAATTAAACTAACTTATTTTTTCCTGATTATCCAAGTCATACAGTGCTCATAATAAAAAATTTAAATATTTTGAAAGCATAAAGAAAAAAATATTTCCCATAATCATGCCAATCATAAATGGCCACTATTAATATATCGATGTATATCCTATTAGGCGTTTATATGTATCAGTGTGAATACTTATGAATTCACATGAAAAGATAACCTAAAGCCCTGGCTGGTTTGGCTCAGCGGTTACAGCGTTGGCCCATGAACCAATTAGTCGCAGGTTCGATTTTGGCTAAGGGCACATACCTTGTTTGTGATTTGTCCCCGGCCCTGGTTGGGGTCGTGCAGGAGGTAGCCACTCAATGTATCCCTTTCACGTCGATGTTTCTCTCTCTCTCTCTCTCTCTCTCATCCTCTCTCTCCCTCCCACTCTATCTGCAACAAAAATGGAAAAAAAGTCCTTGGATGAGGATAAAAAAAAATTAAAAAAAAAAAAAAAAAGATAACCTAAAAAGATAGGTATTCAAATACTGAAAATCATTTTTAAAATTATTATATATATTTCTATGTAGCACCATAACATGAGACATTATATATGCTGCTTTGTAAAATGTAATATACCACAGACACTTTTCTATAGCAATAAATATAAATTTACCATACTATTTTAATTTCTATATAATCATATATGGAGGCTATCAACTTATTTATATAATACTCTATAAATGGGAATTTACATTTGTTTCTATTTTTTATTAATATTAGATCTCTAATTAATGTTCTTGCACACACATCTGTTTGTTCCTGTCCAATTACTTCCTCACTATAAAGTTCTATAAATGCAATTATTGGCTCAATATACATATTGCTAAATTTCTCTCTAGAAAATTTGTAGTAATTTATTTTCCCACCAGCAGCATTATAATCACAACTCTAATTATGATCAATTAAAAAAAATCTTTGTCCATTTTAGAAGCAAATGATTTCTATTTTTTGATTTTGCAATTCTGATAACTAGTGAGGCTGAACATTTTAAAATATGTTTCCTCTCCATTTCTTCCTTTTGTAAGTACATTTTTAATATACTTGTGGCTTATAATAAAATAAAAAAAATTGTAAGCAGAAAAATTATCAAAGAAAAAACAACATCTTGGGGATTAGCTCCCCTGTAGAATTGTCATCTTTAAAAACTGTCACCACTATAATGATAGGAGACCTGGTTGCTGTGAATCCAGCTTTTATTTCCCGTAACTTTTGTTAGAAACCTTTAGGAACTCTTGAATATGATTAAAAAGTTTAATGATACAAAGAGTGAATAAATACTCCCTTTGATTTTTAAAATAAAAGTTGTTAGATATATCCTGTCGTCATAACTTGTGACAAGGTCACTGTATTACATACATACCATGCCACTTTCCCTTGTAGACTGTCCCAAATGACCCGGATCCAATTCTTTGCCCCACTGTGATCTGCCCATCAGGAATCTCCCAATCGTCACTTGAATCCCGTCTACCAAGTGTTTTCTTGATAAAAATAGTGCAAAAGTCAAGCCAAAAAAAAACAAAACAGAAAAACCTTATGTTTTACACTAAATATATTCCCCTGTGTCATATAAAGGACTTAAGTTAGAAAGAGATAATATCTTTTAAAGAAAAAAAAAACACTCCAGAAGAATAATAAAAATATGATTCTTACAATACAGAACTTAAATTGAAGACCTAAGTCAGTATTAGGATGAAAACAATTTATTAAAAATTATTTACTGGGTATGAGCAGAAATATATATCACTAAAATCAATAAAATAAGTATTTTATAATTTGGAGTACTACTACGGGCAAGACAGTACTATACATCTATGACTAGTTTTGGCTCTAAAAGCCAAAAAGTTAACACACTATGGTAACTGCTGATAATTTATTTACTTTCTTCCAGTCAGTGCTAAATTTTCTCATATATATTATCTGATCTAGTCTCTTAAAAAATTGTCAACATATACAATCACTTTGGTAGGGTAAAGAATCCACTTATGCAACATATACCAATGCATCATTGCTAAAATTAAATTATTAGTTTTTAATATAGATATATTGTGCAGCAGAAAGTTATTTTTTCAAATAGGGAAGAATTTCTTTTGATAGAGCTTTGAATTTCAGATAAGCCCTTTAGAACATATATGCTTAAAATACTCTTTTTCCTTATTTTAAAAACAGAATAGAGTTGACCCTTGAACAATGTGGGGTTGAGGGGTGCCGACCCCCAGTACAGTAGAAAATCAGTGTATACCTTTTGATTTCCCCCAGAACTTAACTATAATGGTCCCTTGATATCTGTTGGGGATTGGTTCTACAACCAATATTGTTTTTAATCCTCAGTTTGTTGGATCAGGGATGTGAAACCTGGGGATATGGAGGGCCAACTGTATATTTATTGAAAAAAATATGCAGGTAAGTAGATCTATGCAATTCATATTCATGTTATTCAAGGGTCAACTGTATTCTTACTCTTCCAAAACTGCCTTGCACTCAATTACATCAGAATTGAGAGCAAAAATCTGTGTTGTGTGAATAAGCATTAAGCAAACAATTATCAGCTCTTAATTTTATTTGATTATGGGAATTGTGTGTCACATATGGACATACCAATATATCTAAAAGATGACATTAGATATGGCTATGACATCTACAAAGAAAGAACACAGAAGATTAAAGATATCATGTACTCTTACCATTCGATTCCTGTCTTCTGAGGATGAAGATGATTTTCTTTCCCGCTGAGGTCCTGGAGATTTCTGTAATGCTTTCACATTAGTGAGAGAGCCAGGTAATGAGGCAGGGGGGGTGGCAGATAAACCTGTAGTCGATCCTAAGTCAGTGAAAGGAAAAATGTATCCATTAAAGGAAAATCAAGTATGTTAATTTAATGGGGGGAGATTTAGACTTATTTAAAAAATGCAGTGCATGTTCAAGTATATACCTTTTAGAAAGAATAGGCCCAAAAGGGGCCTCATTTGGTAATTAGTACTATAATTTCTTTTAGTTTTCTGGCCAATTTAGTGACCTTTAAAACATCTGATTACAGATATACACTTTGCTTATTGGTGCACACTCTAAGAAAAAGAACCTCTCTAAAATATGAGATAAATACTAAACAATAGTCCAAAGGTTCTGTTTCTTTGATTTAAAAAAAATCAAAAAAGCAAAATCAATGTAAAAGCCTATATAACAAATAAACTTTTAATTATTTTATGTTGCTTCAGCAGCCAATCAATATAAAAAAAGATGGAAATCCCCAAATGGAAACATATTCTAATTATGGCCTTAATGTAAAAAATATTTGGCTTTTTCATATTAGCCACTAAAATAAAATGAAAAAATCCTACACCACATACTGTACTACTTAGGAGTGAGAGATACTGGTCAGTTTCATCAGTTCCTGAAGGCTTATTTCACTAAACAAAGATTTGCTGCCCGCATACAACAAAGCCAGCAGGCTTCTCAAGACTCTCTGAAAAATCCTTGCCCTTATAAGTGAGAGCAAAGTGATATAGCCTCTCAGCCAAGTTACAACAAATGGAAATATTCTATCAGCCAACTGAGCCCAGGAGGCGCATTCTTTGAAAGTGGACTCGTATCTTTCTGATAGGTACTTTTCCAAATGCTGGCTCAGTGGCAATAATTCTAAGTTCATGTACAGTGGGACCTGGTTCAGAGAAGTTCAGGGCAGTGACTCCTCATGGGACCTGAGTAGAGATAAGTAGAACTGAGATGCCAAAAAATATTTGTACATACAGAACAAAAAGACTTCAAAGGAACTTTTTAAAAAAAGATTACTATTCTTGGGAGGGGGGCAGTCACTGTCTTTCAAAGAACAGAGATACCAATAGCAGCAATTAAATGTTAAATCTGTGGAGAAATTTTATCATTACTACATCATATATGTTATCATGTGAAATTTTCATAATCTCATATGTAAATTTCTAAAAGAAAATGGTATCTGGAATGTCTATCAAAATCCATTTTCTATCTTCCACTGATACTTTTCAACATCAGAAAGCCTAAAATGCTTGCCCAGCCTTCATAGTTCTGATCTACTTAGTACTGCACTGTTATTCTTTACTTTAATTATGCTAGTTGGTCCTGTATGACTTCCAGCCCATTCTATGGATTTTCTGAGAAATTTGTTGGGCTGAGAGCAAAAATCTGAAACACCACTATGTTCAGAATAAGTGGCAGACACTAACTAGGAAAAGCCAGTAAAATTTTCAAAACTATTTATAGCAAACTCCTGTCTCAATTTTGACTTAAATTAAAAAATAATCAGTTTAACCACTAATTAAAGTATGGCAAGACAAAATGGGAGATTGAAATAATGCTGTTAACATTTTCCTCATATTAAGGCATAACTGAAAGTATCAATCCTCAAATTTTCTGAAGAATGCTAAAATACCCCAAATATATTAAAAATCTTTTCAAAGCTCCCTACCTTTGATATAATATTAAATATACTGTCCTACATTTAAAAAGGACACTGCTGATACTACAAAAAAATTAAGCCAAAAGTCTAATAAAATCTCATAATAGGGATTTCCATTTCCATTTTTACTTTTTTAAAAAAACACAAAAATTGATAGCAAATATTAATCACCATCAAGGTGACCACCCAAATGGATTAAAATAAAAAGAATTCAAATAGGACACCCCCTCCCACATAACTTATTGCCACCCAATGAGTTTAAGAAGTTATCAAGACCAAAAAGTAATGTAACAAAAAACATGATGGAAATCTCAGACTTTTCTTGCTTTTAAAATTTAAGACAGATAGCATACAGAAAGCTTGTGGTAGTGAGTATGTGTGAGAAGCACATTCAGAGCATTCCAGCCAGGCCAAGCAGAAATTTAGTACTGAAAACTCTCACACTTACAAACACACACTGTGAGGGTGAGGCACAAACAGTATCAGTAGTTTATATTTAGTTTGCTTTGGGTGAAAACAAGAAAGAAGAGCCCAACTACCTCTGAACACTGGGCCAGGCTCAAAATCAAACACTATTTCACTGGGGACAGAATGTAGGAGGGGACTGGGAGTCCGGGATTGGTATTTCCGAAGACAGCGCATCAGCTGGTTCAAAGGGGCTGTTAGAAGAGAAAGAGAGGGGCAGGCAAACACAGGAAGACAGACACACAGAAGAAATGAAAGAAGTCATGGGGAATAAATAAGATGAGTCGAAGCCTGCTTCACAAAATAATTCTGGATGTTTAAAAAACTGCTTATTTTCATAAAATCCCAATGATTTTTTAAAAAGTGACTCAGAAAAAAAGGACAAGAAATGCCACTTCATTTTAGGTACTAAGCAGGCAGTTTTTATGACTAAATTAACTTTGTGATGCTAAAATGATGGCAACATTTAAATGCTGGATGTATTGGGCAAAATTTTCAAAAGCCACAGCTACTAAGACATATGAAAATCAAACTGGCAGCAACATTAATCAGAGGATTCATGGAATAACAAACAGAAAAAAAAACAAAACACTTTTATAACTATGTGCTTTAGTAAATACTAAGTTTAGAGTATATAATGCAGAGTTATTACTTTGGTAATTCACAGGTACACAGAAACACAACAAAAGATGGTTTATACAATGTTTGTTCAATATAATATATCTTTGAGACCGGGCTTAAGACATTTTGAAGATAAAGCAGGTCACAGTGAAGAGACCAACTCTAAGCAAAATACGCAGGTATTGCAGGCCTTCCTTATTAGAGAGAAGACAGCTGAAAAGGTAAGCATGGAGAACCATCTAGAAGAAAACTTTAAAATAGTTTCAAATACCATCTCTTGGAAAATATGTGGGGGTAAATTTTTATTTAAAAACTTATTTTTTAGGCAATGTTTTCCTATGCCCCCTATTTTTACCAGGTGCTTAAGTGAATGTCAGATGAGAATTCTATAAGAAATCTCAATTTAATTTCTCATTTGCTTATTTTATATACTAGACAAAAAAAAAATCAACAGGGCTTTTCTATTAGGGATCCATTATATAAAATATACATTTCAAAGTCTTTTAGAAGACTGAGGGAAGACTTAGTGGACAATATCTAACAAACTGAGAAGCTGTGACAGGCAATCCAAGGGATTTTCTAAGAATGATTTAGGAAAATCAAGTTTTAATTGATTCTAAGCTTAATCTTTAAATATTGGCAGAGGTTCCCAAAGAAAATTTTGCATCTGCAGCTTTGGAGATGGTTTGGAATCAATAACTAAGAATTTCTTCTTGACAACCTTTTAAAACCATAGCTAGTACATTTAAGAATCCTTTTTCTGTCTTCTTTTTCTCTAATCATGTTATAAATTAGTTAAAATTTTAATACAGATAAATGATAAATACTAGAGAAAAACAAAAAAATTGGGTTTTCTCTACACATTTTTCTCTGTGTCTGTGTTTCATGAAAAAAGCAAATATAAAGAAAAGCAGCAAAGCAGTTGCAATTTTCCCTGAGTTTTTAAAAATTAAAATCACCACTTACCTCCATCACTACGAAACCCTTGGTCTCTAATCAAGTCCTATAAATAAATAGTAATGTATATTTTATTTAAAGCATGTGGTAAGAAAATAATACATTTTCCACTAAACATTAACAGAAATGTTAATTCAAAATAACAACTGTTTTATAAATACTTCACAAAACATAAAAAATATGGAATTAGCTAGTGAACATGATAAAATCAAAATGTGAAGCACCTGCCAACCTAACCCTATATCAAAGGGATTATTAGTTCAGATCAAATACTGAAATCCATTTCAGGCAATTCAAAACCAATGGCTGCATCAATTCTTTAAAAAATTCTACTGGCACATAATTAAGAGCCATAAAATGTTCATACCCTTTGATCCTGTATTCCACTTCTGGGAATTTTTCCTAAAGAAATAATTCAAAAGAAAAAATGATATGCACAAAGATGTTCAGTGCAACATTATCCATCATACTAAAAAATCAGAGACAACTGCCCTGGCCGGTTTGGCTCAACAGTTAGAGCTTTAGCTCATAGACCAGAGAGTCGCAGGTTCGATTCTGGTCAAGGGCACGTACCTTGGTTTCGGTTTGGTTCCTGGCCCTGGTCTGGGTCATGTGGGAGGCAACCAATCGATGTGTCTCACATCAATGTTTCTTTCTCTCTCTCTCCCCCACTCTATCTGAAGATAAATGGGAAAATATTCTCTGGTGAGAATTAAAAATAATAACCACAAATATCAGAGATAATTATTTCCCTCTTCTAAGTTTATTGACATATTTGCTAAGTAAATTATGATGTACAAATTTAGTGAATGTTATGTAGCTACGAAAAGTTATAAAGATTGAATCATGAAACATGTTTACAATGTAATTTAAAAAACCGAATACAAAATTAAATGTACACTAATTACAATCATAAAAATAAGATGTGTAAGGACAAAGTAGAAGAAAAAAATTAGAATGGCTCAAACAAGGATTTTGTTAAAATTTGTCATTCTTGCCCTGGCCGGTTTGGCTCAGCGGTTGGAGTGTCCGCCTGTGGTCCGGAGAGACCCAGGTTCGGTTCCCGCTAAGGGCATGTACCTCAGTTGCAGTTTGTCCCCGGCCCTGGTTAGTTGTGTGGGTGGCAGCCACTCGATGTGTCCCTTTCACATTGATGTTTCCCTCTCTCTCTCTTCCTCTCTCTCCCTCCCACTCTATCTGTACAAAAAATGGAAAAATGTCCTCGGGTGAGGATGAAAAAAAAAAAAAATTTGTCATTCTTAAAATACAGTTTTTTACAACAGACAACGTTCAGGGTAAGACAAAGAGTCTTCTGGCAATGCAATGTAATTTGGACCTTAATAAGCAGAATTTAGATTAGTGTGTGTACCCAGTATAACTTAAATGTGAGGGACTGAATGGTCCCAAATGTCTCTCAAGAGGCTCTTGCAAATAGGCAGTTTTGTTTATGGGCTAAAACAAAGACTGACTTCTTTACAAATGTATTTCTATCATGTTCAATGTATTATATAAAGCCTTCAATATTTTCTACAAAATATCAACAAATACAGACTGTAAATAAGATGCTAGGTGGTCTCAATAATTTTCCATTTAAAGGTACTTTCATACTTTTGCATATACTATTTCCTTAATAAATGCCCTTTCTTCCTAAAACTATAACTAGTGTACTTAAACTTCTACTCATTCATCTTTTATAATCCAGCTTAAATGTTGTCCCTTCTCTGCTAAATATTCCTAGATCCAACCAGATAGTTTATCACCCCCTACAATAAACTACCTACATTTTTATTATCATTTATTTATACATCTAATTCATCCATTAGAATATGACTTTGTCGAGGGCAAAGACTGTGTGCTAATTCATCCTTAATTGCCAATTCTGACATACTGTGTATCCAAGAATCAATATTAAGTCTTGTTTACTGTAATAATAAATGATAAATAATGACTGAAATTGAGTGAAATGATTGAGAGAGAATGAAAATGCTAAATGGTTTATCTTTTATTTTATAATCAATGGGAAGTCAAAGACAGTTTTGGAACAAGGGAATAGATGATAGGTGCTGTAAAAAATTAATATGGTGGTAGCATAAAGAATGGAAATGGAGAGAGAGAAATCAATGGCAGGAAATCCAATTAGGAGATTAATGTAGTAAGTAAGTAGTTCAAATAAAGAAACATGGGCCCAAATGCTGGTGGTAATAAGAACAACTCTCAGCTGCGTATCAAAAGAAAAGGTGATACCTTATGACTATTTGATTATAGGGAAGGATGAAAACGCAAGATACAAAGATGACACTCCTAATGTTCAAGTCTAATAAGAGAACAGTGGTGACAATGAGAGATAAAGTGAAACACCTATAATAACAATTTTCAACCAGAACGTTGCAAGAAGTTTTAAAACATGCAATGTCTATTTAGTCAGGGACACTGACTTCTTTTCCCTTAGACCGTCAAATAAAAAAATGACAACAGCCAACACAATAGCCATCCAGTGTGAATTAATAAAAATTATATCTTTTTTTTTTGGTCAGATTGGCAAAATATATAGTATTTGGTGTGCCACAGAATTTTAGTAGTTTATGTGTGTCATTAGATGAAAAAGGTTGAAAATCACTGGTCTTAAAGAATGTTCATTTTGAAAGTAAAGATGAAGATTACAATTTTGAACATCTGAGAACAGACATAACCTAGAAATAAGATTTGATTTCTTATTTCACTGTATGTTTATTCCCATATTCCCCTCTCCCACATCTTTCTTCCTTTGTAATCAGGTCTGGCTATATCAAATAAAACCTTATCAGTTGGGGAAATTAATATTAGGAAAAGGTCACTTAAATAAATCCAATAAAAATACAGAAAATATTTTATAGTAAAAAGTGGGAAGAAAGTCTGATTTGGGAATTTATCTTTAAAAATAAAATTAAAATTTACAATCAGGTTTATTTCTTTTACAGTAAATAAAATTTAAGTTATAATTTCAAAAATATGCTAATTCTTAGAATAAACACAGAATCAAGTTCTTGTTGTTCACAATACCAACTTATATAATAGCACAAATCAAAATTCTTAATTTCAAGTTCATCTTTTACATCATAATAATAATCATTATAATAAATATTTTAGAGGACTTTATCCCTCAAATGGCCTCTATCAGTCCTTTGATATTTAAATCACTTCATTTGAAGAGCCTATTGTCATCCTTATGTATTTTCTGTTATTAACTGGACTACTTTAATTCTGTGTATTTCTCAATGGCTATATATGATTTGAGTAGTTCTCCAAAGTCACTCTTTACAGTCTTCATAAAATCCTTAAAATTGTGTGTGTGTGTGTGTGTGTGTGAGTGTGAGAGAGAGATTTGCAACCAGTTTTGCATTATGTTTTCATGGAAATGTTGGATATTAATGTAAAGGGGTTGTGTTGCAGGCTGGTATTAAATGGGAAGGGATGTCTGAGTGGAAACTAATATGGAAATACTCTGTTAATGAGCGAGTATTTTCCTGTTAGGATGATGTTTGCTTCTCTTCTCCACCTTGCACTTACGAGGACTCACGGAGGAATGCCTGTTTATTGTTAGCCACCTATCTTCTAACACACATAGCTACCTCAGTGACTCCAGGGCCCTGTCTACATGGGGAAACAGTTTCAATTTCCTTTTAAAATATAATAACTTTCCAAAGCAAAAAACCCCACAAAACTTGTGGATTTTCCCAGTTTCGTTATTAAGGTTATTTATTAAGGTTAAGGATAATAACCTATATTCTTTATTCTAAAGCACAAGTTCTGAAAAACGTAATACCTAATTCCAAGATCATTCCAAGGATCCCAGCCCATCACAGCTCAGACAGCAAGAGCACTTTTTTTTGTTTTGTTTAATCCTCACCCGAAGATATTTTTACATTTATCTTCAGACAGAGCGGGAGGGAGGGAGAGGGAGAAACGGGGGGGGGGGGGGGGGAGAAGGGGGGAGGAGAGAAAGAGAGAGAGAGAGAGAGAAACATCGATGTGAGAGAGACATATCAACTGGTTGCCACCCGCATGACCCCAACCGGGGCCAGGGACCGAACTGCAACCAAGGTACGTGCCCTTGACTGGAACCGCACCCGAGACTCTTGGGTCCGCAGGCTGATTTTCTAACTGCTAAGCCAAACTTGCCAGGGCTGAACCAGTCCTTTTGGACTGATACTGTGTGTTTCATCTTTTTTCTCATTTCTTCTTCACTTTGTCTATATCATGGTCTGGCAAAATATAGTGAGTTGGCCATATGTTCTTGTAAATAAAATTTTAGTGGACTATAGCTACATCCATTTGTTTATAGTGCATTGTCTATAGTTGCTTTCACACTACAATGGCAGAGTTCAGTAGGTATCATTAGAAATCATATGACCCAACAAGCCTAAAATATTTACTATCTGGATCTTTAAGAAAAAGTTTGTTGCCCTGGCCAGTCTGGCTCAGCGGTTAGAGCATTGACCTGCAGACCAGAGAGTGATGGGTTCGGTTCCTGCTAAGGGCACATACCTTGGTGGCAGTTTGTCCCCAGCCCCAGTTGGAGCTGTGTGGGTAGCGACCACTCGATGTGTCTCTCTCACATCAATGTTTCTCTCTCTCTTCCTCCTTCCATATCTGAAGATACATGCAAAAATGTCCTCGAGTGAGGATAAAAAAAAAAAAAAAGTTTGTTGACTCCTGGTCTATATTATGGGAAATTTTCTCTGCTTTATTTTCTAACTCTTTTACTGAAACAAGTATTTTTTTGATAACTTATTATGTGTTTAGTTCTAAGGTGCCAAAGGAACTATATTAGGAATAGTTTCTGCTGTCCATAAGATCTAAATGAAGAAGTGACACTAATGTACATAACTAAGTTACAGTGTGCAAGACAAACTAGAAAAGTAAAAATGTTAAGAGTGACCAGCCAGAAGGTGGCCAAGATAACTGAAGAGGTGAGATTACAATATATGATGATGAGACCAGAAAAGGTAAATGATTAAAACAATAAATGATTAAAGCTTAATGACAAACTTTACACTTAAAAAAATGCCAAAATTCAAGATGTATATAGAGATGAAATACAATGGCATACTCAAGAAAGTAAAGAAGATAAAGGGTAGCTTTACATGTCAAATACATAAAGTAATGATTAGTTTTTAAGGGTTATTTAACTCAAAGTTGGACTTTTAGAAATTTAGGTAAAGATTTTCAAATTGATTTAAGAAAAAACCTGCAATTGTATTCTTTTTTTCCCTTTATCAGAAAATGGCCAAAGTGGATTATCTGTTAAATAAATGAAGATAAGATTTTTATAGATGGTGTCATAAGGGGGAAAAAAGAAATCAGAACAAGTCTGTAACTTGGCACCAGTTAAGCATGTAATGCCATCAGAGAAGGCAAGGCTTTCTCATCTGTAATTCATAAAAGTCTACCACTTACAATAACTGTGATTAATGAAAAATGATACTTATTTCTGATGTATATTATAACTGTATCAAAGAAATACACTTGAATTTTTTAGTTCTAACAATGCTGGATACTTACATCAATATTGACAGGTTCTATTGTGTTTATATGCACATTTGGAGCTGATGAGGATCGGTCTCGTTGTCCAAACTGATTTCGATGATCTTCATCTGCTGGTCGGAAAGGCTGTGGAATTGGAATGGATTTTGAAGGAGACGGACTGGTGAGGATTTGGGGCCTGGAAAAATCAAGTCATTGAAAGATAAGATTCAGAGCAACTTTATAGAGATAATATTTTTAAAAATGGATGATATAAAATCTCCCTTGTTTTCATATTCTCAAATAAAATCGTTAAAATAAAGCATTAAAAACCCAGCAGGAATGGGTTTTTAAAGTATTAGTTTACAACTATTACTAACAAAGCTGCTTTGCTGAAGCAGACCCTCCAAGAACTATCAATGATAAAAGCACTGATTCTTATCTAGAAAACTCAAGGAATATCTACAAATGGCTAGAAATTACCTATGGTTAATCAGCTGAAGAAACTCTTATCCTATAAAGTTACACAAAAATGCTCTAGGTAGTGACTGAGTAAATAAAATATGCCATTTTTTTCTACCTTTGCCATTTCTTGATAGGTGAAGTTACTAAAATGACATGTTTATGGAAAGTATGAAGTAATTATAAATATTTTGAGAACACAAATGTGTATTTCAGGATCTGAAGGATATACCTGTTACTTTACACAAGAGGTGAATTAAAATCCTGAACAACAGCAAATGATAATTTCCTAATTCAAAAGCTGACCCTTATAGTATAAGTCTCTCATGTTTTAAAATGTTTACCTTGTCCAATGACTGACACAAGAGACACGTAAGAATCATATGTTAAGCAAAGCAAATATTTATAAAAATTGCTTTTTGATGAAACCATCAAAACAGGTTACAGAGTGGTCTATATTTTGATATTGCAGACAAAAACAAAGTCTAGGATCTCTCATCACTGTCATCAAAATAAATCACAGAGCACACTAAAGATTTGACAGTAGACTGTAAATAGCTGCGAGGAATCTATGCCCCTCAGAAAAGATACCCAAGGAGCTGGGAAGGAGGATCACGTGAAAGCTAAGGTGTGGTTGTCTCAGTGAGTTCCATCAGGACCAATGAAGAACTCAGTTCTAACAGCCTCTCTTCAGAGACTGGTTATCATTCTACCCCATCTTATGCAAACTCTGTAATTAATCAGTATTATTTAGTGGTTATTAAGACATAGCCAGAAAGACAATATTGTGGGAATAAAAAGATATTTTGTGAGGGAAGAGGGTTTAAAGAGGAATAGAAATATAGAAAATATAGTAGAAAAAAAATAAAGGTTTGAAGAGACAAAGAAGCCAAATAGTGACACAAAACTTAAGAAGAGAACATGTTAACAGAATCTAAATCATACCAGTTTATAGTTTTACTTCTCTGAAGCATACTGTTAAGGGTAGGGACAGAAATATGCACTTTATCTGTTCATATTAACTAGATGAATCCACAAATTGAAATAAAAATAAAATATCATATACTTTAAAAATTGGTACTATTGAGAATTGTAGGTAAAGACAAATACAAAACTGGCTTTTAGAAAAGTTAACATGCTCCACTGGTCCTTTTATTCTGACTATTGAGACATTTTTAGTTTTTGACAGAACTGTCTTTGTTTTAGGCAGCCAAATATACTTCCTTTGCCAAAAGATTCTGGGAGCAGGTACAAGAACGTAAATATGGTCCTGGCCTGTATGGCTCAATGGTTAGAGTGTTGGCCTGTGGTCCAGAGAGACCGGGGTTCGGTTCGGTTCCTGCTAAGGGCGCGTACCTCAGTTGCAGTTTGTCCCCAACCCTGGTTGGTTATGCGGATGGCAGCCACTCAAGGTGTCCCTTTAACGTCGATGTTTCTCTCTCTCTCTCTCTCTTCCTCTCTCTCCCTCCCACTCTATCTGAACAAAAAATGGAAAAATGTCCTCAGGTGAGGATAAAAAAAAAGGACGTAAAAATGAAAATATTAGTTTTTTTTTCAGTTTTAGAAAGTATAGACTTTTAAAAAGATATTTTATATAAACTTATCTAAAGTCTCAAGGCAACAGCACATTTTAAAATAAGACTTGAAGAAAGCATCTGAATTAACGATATGATAGTCTAATTAATATAACTGATTTGATGTAAGCATAAGTGACAGCAACTTATTTTTGAAACTTAGTGAATTATGACAGCAATATGTGGTACATATCAAATCAGAACTATGTATGCAAAGGACACTGGTCCGGAAGTAAGAAGAAAAAAAAAACTTGGATAAATTTAATTATCATATCTAAAGAAAAATAGATATATTAGACAAAAAGGATATCTGCTATTCCACAAAGTCAGAAAGACTATAATTTGTCAGTTTGTATCTACCACCACCCAGGGAAAGGTATGCGTTGTTTTACAAAGTCAATTTTTCTAGCCTTGAGGGCAAGTATATTATAATTTGGGAGAACACTTCAAGTTATTATATCATGATGTCATTAAACAACAGAGCCATGGCCTAATTCTATCCTTAACAAAAACAATCTTTTGATTATAATTTGGTTTCTCATAAGTATCTTTCAAAAGCAGGGTGAGTATTGGTTGGTCCATCCAACATAAGAAGTTTGGTCTACACAACAGGCCTATTTCTCACTGAAATGAATTACCTGGCATTCTGAATTAGTGTTTTCTGATTCTGGTAAATATAAACCAGTATATACCCCTAACTATCATTATTTCTGGGAACTGATAAAACTGAGTTTCCAAGCTTGTAATTCTTTACTCAAACCAAGGCAATTTATACTCTGTAAAATATGTTAGCAGTGAGCAAACTGGCTTTCACTTCACGATGTTTCTACCTATCTTGCTGAAATCCTCTTTAAGGCAGTACACCAAATTAAAAATAAAAATAATTTTTTACCTCTAACACCCTTCAGCAAATTACCAGTTAGTTTAGGTCTCATTTTTAAACTAGAATATTAAAAGTTTTAAAGCAAAGTGACTACCTCTGTTCAGTGATATGCAAATTTCAAAATGCTGACTTTTCATAAATTTATACATTCTAAAGCATTTTTCAAACGTAGAAAAGTAGGGGGTACCTCTCATTTTTTATCCAAACTGGGAAATGTATCACTTCTCCAACATGTCTTGGTTACATCTATCATATGTGTTTCGTGACCATCATGATTGCTATCAGACTATTAACAAAACGCAAAGGAATTCTGATACAGAAGAGGATCGGCGTCTGTCCTTTCACAGGCATACATACGTGTCACAGAAAAACATCAGGAAAACAAAAGTTTGAATATCTTTCTCATCATTTGCTCAAGACCAGAATCTACTTCAGATTAGCTATAAACAAAGTACTTATGCAGGCAAATGATTTTTTTTTTTTATCCTCACCCGAGGACATTTTCCCATTTTTTTGTTCAGATAGAATGGGAGGGAGAGAGAGGAAGAAAGAGAAGAGAGAAACATCGACGTGAAAGGGACACATCGAGTGGCTGCCACCTGCACGACCAATCAGGGCCGGGGACAAACTGCAACCGAGGTACGTGCCCTAGCAGGAACCGAACCCGAGTCGTCTCTCTGGACTGCAGGCTGATGCTCTAACCACTGAGCCAAACCGGCCAGGGCTGATTTTTTTTTTTTTTTTTTTTATCCTCACCTGAGGACATTTTTCCATTTTTTGTTCAGGTAGAGTGGGAGGGAGAGAGAGGAACAGAGAGAGAGAGAGAAACATCGATGTGAAAGGAACACATCGAGTGGCTGCCACCCGCACAACCGACCAGGGCCGGGGACAAACTGCAACCGAAGTACGTGCCCTTAGCGGGAACGAACCCGGGTCTCTCAGGACCGCAGGCCAACGCTCTAACCGCTGAGCCAAACCGGCCAGGGCTGATTTTTTAATTTAAAGCTAGCATCCCCTCCCTGGCCGGTTTGGCTCAGCGGTTAGAGTGTTGGCCCACGGACCAATGAGTCTCAAGTTCGATTCCGATCAAAGACACACACGTACCTCAGTTGTGATTCATCCCTGGCTCTGGTCAGGGTCCTGTGGGAGGCAACCAGTTGATGTGTCTCTCTCACATCAACGTTTTTCTCTCTCTCTCCCTCCCTCCCACTCTATCTGAACAAAAATGGAAAAATATCCTCCGGTAAGGATAAGAAAAAAAAAGCTGGCATTCCCACCACTGGTAAGCAAATGTCCTGATCGTTATCATTAATGACCTTCGGTGAGGCCAAGCTAATTTCATTATGATGTTCTGTAATTCTGCTCACAGAACTGGGACCTGCCATTAGAAAGGCATCACAGTCTACAGAATCTGTCAAAAGTGAATGTCATAGTCAAAGGATTAATAAAAAATCAAAACAATGACAACATTTTGATTTGCTCTCCTAAGAAATATACAGCTGCATACAAATAATGATAAAGACAGCAGGAATAAGATGACTCCACCAGAGCATGTAACTTTTACAACCTGTCAAGAAAACATATTGGTTGCATTTTCTAGTGGTCCAAAATAGGTGAATATATCCACTCCTTAACACAAAAGTTTTTTGCTAAATTTCTAGCCTATGAGAGCTCCAGAAAGGTTGGCTTCATAAAAATTGTACGTCTATTGGGAGTATCAACTTATTATTTTATCTCTCTGAGTAGAATAGCATCACACTGTGAAGTGTGAGAAGAAGTAGGGTTAAAACTAACAATAAATATTTCTGACCTTAACTAATTATCTCTAGAATAGTCTAGAATGGAATGATGCATGTAGACTTTTTTTTTTAACTATATGCTTCCAGATATAGTATAATTTATGCTTCCTCAAATCCCATGGGGAAAGAGTAAACAGACATGTGTAAGAAATACTTCAAAGCAAACTAGTAATCTTCTAAACTCATTATCATCTCTTTTTTCCCCTAGCATGAAGCTTGAATATGTGGATGACTTTGTACCATCTTTAAAGTAAGTTCTCTCCTTTATCCTCCACAACTAATAAATACTACTATTAATTTTTCTCTTTTATACTTTATGAATATCCATTCCTTCTGTATGCTGCTACCACTCCAGTTCAAGTCTTCATCACTTGTATTCACAACCAACAGCATCCTAGTTGGCCTGCTTTACGATATATATTTCTCCATCAATCTATTTGTATATCAGTGTTAAGTGATTCTTTAAAATCATTTTCATCAGGTTAGTCCTCTGCTCAAAAAACCTTAATTCTTTTTTTCCTACTTATGTCGTGGAAATTCCAACCTAAACTTCTAGACTCTCCATAAATCTAGTCTTACGCATGCTTCTTCTTGACTTAGAGTTGGCTCTCTTCACTGTCTCCTAAATATACCATTGCCATTCCCTTTATTTTGTTTGTCCTCCCACTTTCCTGCCTCACAATCACCATGCTTTTATTCCCCAGGCTAATTCAGATTTTAGAATTCTTTGAGGTCCAATTTAAATCCTACTTTCTTTTTTTTTTTAATTAATTAATTTATTTTTGTTACAGTTTCTCCTTTTCCCCCCACTGATTCCCCCCTCCCTCTCCCTCCCCAGCCTGTCCCCAGCTTTGTTGTCCATGTCCACTGTTCATGCATACATGCATATAAGTTCTGTGGTTTATCTCCCCCCCACCCCCTCTTCTGGGGATTGTCAGTCTGTACCCCACTTCCATGTCTCTGGGACTACCCCATTCCTCAGACTGTTATGTTCATTATATTCCACAAATAAGTGAGATCATATGATACTTGTCTTTCTCTGTTTGGCTTGTTTCGCTTAGGACAATACTTTCCAGGTCCCTCCATGTTGTCTCAAAAGATAAGAGATCTTTCTTTCTTACAGCTGCATAGTACTCCATTGTGTATATATACCATAGCTTTTTTATCCATTTGTCTACTGATGGACATTTGGGCTGTTTTGAGATCTTAGCTATTGTAAATAGTACTGCTACGAACATGGGGGTACATAAATTCTTTCTGATCGGTGTTTCAGGCTTCTTAGGGTATATTCCTAGAAGTGGGATCACTGGGTCCAATGGCAGTTCAATTTTTAATTTTTTGAGGTAATACCATATTGTTGACCATAGTGGCTGCACCAGTCTGCATTCCCACCAGCAGTGTACTAGAGTCCCCTTTTCTCCACAGCCTCGTAAATCCTACTTTCTTCATTAAATTCTTTTGACTACTTTCTCTCACTATCCTCTTCTCCTGTAAACATGGTAATATTCTTTCTTATCACATAGTTTAAAATACTATGTCATAAATTATAGATTTTAATTATATACTGTTTTTAAATTGTTTGACATTGTCTCATTGTTAACACTACTTTTCTAAATGGAAGTCATGTACTTCTAGATCTGATATCACCTAATAAAGTAATGAGCACAAGGCGGGGACTCTAAATGATCTGTTGCTTAATTTATTTTAAGACTGGTCCTGAAACAGTCTATGCCAGCTTTTATTCCATGTATCTGTACCAAATACATGTTAAATATCTGACTGGTATAATAAAATAAGTTATCTAAAAAGTTCCTTTTTAACAATCCAATGTTTTGGAAAAATTGAAAATAAACCAAAGATCCAAAAGAAACCAGCTCAAATAGCATGTCACTGAACAGAAGTCAAATCATACCCAATAGAATCAGAGGGAGGTGCAGAAGGGGATGATCCAGGTGTAAGGGTAGTCTCTGCCAAGGAGGCCTCCTCCTGTGGTATTGGGTGGTGTTCAAAAAACTTGGAGACAAACAGCAAACTGTGAGGCAAAAACAAAAACAAAACAAAACAAACCTAACTTGTGCAAAACCCAGAAGCTTCATATATCAATACATTACAGAGTTAACAAAAATATCTGAGTTGATCAAATTCCATTTTTAGAAATGATTGTTAAATTCAATTAGTGCGTTTTGGTCTGAAGGCTTATTTTTAAAAATTATATTGTATTTTCAAGGGCAAGCTCAGAATCTAAAACTAATTGTTCTATATAGCAAATTCCTACATATCAGAAGGGAAAAATCATGCTTTATGGTTAAGGAATTAGAAGAAAATGTAACTATTGCAAAGTTAGATTACATTATTATAATATACTTTAAAATACAAAGTTATATTCTACTTGCTCAACTGATCAAGAAAAGTATAAGACCTTAACAGCAGCAGCAAGAACACACAAAAAGATTAAAATAGACTTAATCTAATCTGTTAGAGACACTCTAGCATAAAAAGCAAATAGAAATTTTAGAAAAAGATACACTAGGTACAAAGATTTTATATCTTACTTTTAAATAAACTGAGGGTGCAGGTGGGGATAAAGAAGGAAGAGAGAAGGAAGGAGGGAGGGGGGGAGAGAGAGAAAGAGAGAGAGAAACATAATTTACAAAACAGCTGACAGAATCAGATCCCTTCATCTTTCATCTGAAGTCCAAAAATATAATAGTTAACTTAATTGAAATAATACCTGATCTCCTCCCAAAAACAATCTAAAAGTGATTTCTATGGGCAAGGAACTTTTATTAATTGAAAGAGAATATAAAATATAAATGAAATATGTAGCTGAACCAGAAGTACAATTTTGGAGTAAAGTATAGGCTATACTACATATTACTCTAGACACACTTAAAAAAAATTCCCTATAACAACTCTACTGGACAGAAAATTCCCACAGACTCTAAGACATAGTTTTACATTCAGGAAAATTAAATGTAAAATGGTAGAGAGATCTCTTTTGATTACTTACTCAAGTTGGTCATAATTAACACACATCAGTGGAACCTCTGTACTACAACGCTGGTGAAATTTATAACCACATGTTTGACAGCGGAAACCCTGGAAAAGCAGCTTTCGACAAAAGTCACAAAATGCTAAGGTGAAAAAAGTTTTCCGTACCTGCAAAGTAAAACATCATAGAGGATTTCAAAACTTGCAAGAATCTTTTTAGAAATCAACTTACTTACTCTTTTGTAAAAAATAACAAATCTTTTATATGTTGATATCATGAGAACTGCCTTCCTTACACACTAAGATACTAAAATGAAAACCAGTGGATTCAAGATAGTAGATAGATTAATATGTATTATCTTCCACCCAATCTTCAATTTAAAAACTCAGAAGTCTTGATGGGAAATGAATAAAAGACTCAAAGCTAATTTCAAGCTTGACTACATTAAAATAAAAGTAGAGATTTGATAAGAGGAAGGAATAGAAGTGAAACAAAAGGGTATAATTTAATAACTGTACAAAGAAAGGAGTTAAGAGAGGCTTGCTAGTGTTAAGAGAATAAGAAACAAATATGCTAGTAATAAAGTCACAAATGTATCCAATAGAGGAGCCACAAACCGCACCCCTCCAAAACCCCTACAATGGAGGAGGGAAGGAAGAGGAAAGGCTATAATGCCACGAATAAGCTAATTCCCAATAAAATCAGTAATCAGTAAATGATGTTAAAGGAAACTATATAAACTTGAGTAAAATGTAAATATACTCTGGTTAAATGTAAAAACAATTATTTATAATGATAAAAGAAAAAGCTATTTGTGACTTTATGAAAATCAAAACAACTCCACCTAAACTTACAAACTAGGATAAGGAACAGGAAAATCACGTAAGAGACAGTAAGAATGAATTTTAACAAGTTATTTTGTTGGAGGAGAAGAACACCTAAATGTATGTGTGACCACTCCTCAATGTGAAACTTCAAAGACATGTTAAAACTCCACATGAGAGGCAAATGATCTTCAACACTGATTTTCAACCTTTTTCATCTCATGGCACCCATAAACTAATTACTAAAATTCTATAGCACACCAAAAACGTATTTTGGCAAGCTGGCAAAAAATAGGTATAATTTTGATTAATTCGCACCGGACTGCTATTGTTATGTTGGCTGTTGTCATTTTTTTATTTGACTATCTAAGGAGAAAGAGGTCAGTGCCCCTGACCAAATAGTTAGGTATCACATGCTTTAACAGTTCTGTGGCACACCATCACCAGCGTGTCTTGCATACCAGTTGAAAATCGCTGATCTACAAGGGTCACATAAACAGAACTGTGCTAGGAAGGCTCTATCTTTTTTGTTAATCCTCACTCAAGGATTTTTTTTTCCATTGATTTTTAGAGAGAGTGGAAGTAGAAGAGAGGGAGAGATGGGGGAGAAAGAGGGAGGGGCGGAAGGGAGAGGGGGGGAAAGAAAAGGGGGATGAGACAGAGAGAGAGAAAAATCGATGTGAGAGAGACACATTGGTTGCTTCCTGCTCGCACCCCAACTAGGGTGGGGGATGGAACCTGCAACCCAGGTATGTGCCCTTGACTAGGAATTGAACCTGCGACCTTTCTGTTTGAGGGCCCACACTCTAACCAATGAACAACACCGGCCAGGGAGCTATCTTTTTTTTAAGGGAGCTCTACCCTTACAACTACCAAAGCTAGAAATTGTTTGAAAAGTACTCATTTTGTGTAAATAATATGCAGAAAACATAAGAGGGATAAACAAATACCAAAATGTTAACAATGGCTATTTCAGACTGGTGAGAGCATGGGTAACTTCTACTTTGTCCTCTGTTCTTTGCTGCGTATTTTCAGACAGTTTTAATAAAAAAATGAAAGTAAAGAATATATTTTACATTATGATCCAGGACACATCTGTATTCACATAACAATACTTACCAACTATATATAATGTACGTGAGAATTCTCTATTCTATTACATGTAAATGCTTTTCATGAACCATTAATCTCAATACCCACAAATTCTTCTCAATAAACACATCTCTAACAAGATAAAAACTTATTTAAAAATGTTTCCTTGAGTCCTGGCCAGTTTGGTTCAGTTGTTAGAGCATCGGCCTGCAAACTGAAGGGTCGTAAGATCGATTCCAGCCAAGGTCACGTACCTGGGTTGCAGGTTCAATCCCAGGCCCTTGTGCGGGAGGCAACCAATTGATGTGTGTTTCTCTCATGTCGATGCTTCTCTCTCCCTCTCCCTCCTTCCCTTCCACTCTATCTAAAAATCAATGGAAAAATATCTTATGGTGAGGATTTAAAAAAAAAAATGTTTCATCAAGAAAATGGTATCTTGGCATATCATCCATTCTGGCTTTTGAAATCATTTAGGTAGTTTTGAAAATGGCTCTTGTTTTCTTCTTTTTTTTTCTAGTATCATTTTGTAGGGGTTTTAAAAAGGCAACCACTTGTTTTTAGCTTTGTTTCTTTTCCATTTGTCTCTGGATATACAAGACATTAGAAGATCTTTAACATTTATGTTACCACTATTTGCCAAAGTTAAGAATATTTTATACTGCTGGCATAATTTCAGGAAACAGAGCACAAAAAAATACAGAATGTTTGCACAGGAATAAGCATTTTATAGTCATCTGATCCTCTTGGTTAACCACTCTTACCTTCACTCTCCTGATAATCTGTATCATGAAACCCTAATTTCTCTTCCTGAATGTATTTACTCAATTGCAGTCTTTCTTCCTGACACTGACTTATACTTGAAAACTATGTGTAACTGGTTGTTGGTATATGTAAAGGAGAAAAAAAAAAAAAGGAGAGAGAGACAAGAAAAGGTGAGAAAGAAGAGAAGCAAAGAGGAAGAAATACCTGAGAGGAGAAAACATGGGTATGAACTTTAGTATTAACTGCAAGTAACATATACAGGGTGGGCAAAAGTAGGTTTACAGTTGTGAGTACGTGAAAGTTTATTCCTGTATTATTGATTAATTATTGTATTATTTTCCATATGAACAACTTGTAAACCCACTTTTGCCTCTGTACTTGTATTTGTGAGTATACCTTTGTCAATAAAGGTGAGCACAGAAAGGTACATCTTTTCTTTTGGGTCACAATTTAGGCGTATTCTGAATTTGAGCACATCAAGACATGGATGGTAAATGAATGGGAGGCATAGACCAGGCAATTCGCAAGCATTAATTTTTAAGGCATGGGCTGTCTGAAAGAAGACATCAACCCGCGTGCCTATAGAAAATGGGAAGGGCGCCCTGGCCGGTTTGGCTCAGCGGTTAGAGCGTTGGCCTGTGGTCCGGAGAGACCCGGGTTCGGTTCCCGCTAAGGGCACATACCTTGGTTGCAGTTTGTCCCCAGCCCTGGTTGGGTCGTGTGGGTGGCAACCACTCGATGTGTCGCTCTCACGTCAATGTTTCTCTCTCTCTCTCTCCCTCTCACTCTATCTGAACAAAATATCGAAAAATGTCCTCAGGTGAGGATAAAAAAAAAAAAAAAAAAAAAAAGAAAAAAAAAAAGAAAATGGGAAGGGCTAGACAAATGACATCTATTTCAAATCCTGTTTCCCTACTTTCCCTGCCCCCCTTCACCCCACCAGTTCTCAAGGACTCCTGGGAGGTAGGCAAGTACTGAAGGAATATCTTTTATAACAGACTCTATGAAACCATAAGGCATCAGCAGCATTCCCTAAGTAGCCAGCAAAATCCAGCAGAGACCCAAAGAGAGTACAGGCTTTTACTCTTGCCTCTATATGACACGCAGAACCATTGTTCTCAAATGCATATCTAGTCGGCTGGTGTGGATCAGTGGATTGAGCATCATCCTATGTACTGAGAGGTCTGGGTTCGATTCCCAGTCAGGGCACATGCCTGGGTTACGGGCTCAATCCCCAGTAGGGGTGTGCAGAAGGCAGCCAATGGATGTTTCTCTCTCACAATGATGTTTCTATTTCTCTCTCCCTTCCTCTCTTTAAAAAAGTCAATAAAAACATATATTTCTTTTCTTTTTTAAAAATATTTTTTCTTTATTGATTTGAGAAAGAGAGGAAGGGAGAGGGAGAAATAGAAATATCTATGAGAGAGAACATCAATCGGCCACCTCCTGCATGCCCCTCATTGGGGATCGGGCCCATAACCTGGGCATGTGCCCTGACCAGGAACTGAACCGGCAACCTCCTGGTGCATGGGTCGATGCTCAACCACTGAGGCACTCCCACGAGGCATGAATAAAAACATATTTACAAAATGTATATCTAATCCCACTTCTCCCCTGTTTACAATCATTAAGTTTCCAATTGTTTTACAGAAAAGTCCAAATGTTTAATATGGTTTACAAGGACTCTAATGAGCTTGATTCTACTTATTCTACCCATAACTCTTGCTATTCTGTACCATCCATTCTGAACATTTTTTTTTTTCCTCACCCGAGGATATTTTTCCATTTTTTGTTCAGATAGAGCGGGAGGGAGAGAGAGGAAGAGAGAGAGAGAGAAACATCGACATGAAGGGACACATCGAGTGGCTGCCACCCGCACGACCAACCAGGGCCGGGGACAAACTGCAACCGAGGTACGCGCCCTTAGCGGAAACCGAACCTGGGTCTCTCCAGACCGCAGGCCGACGCTCTAACCGCTGAGCCAAACCGGCCAGGGCTGTTCTGAACATTTTTTAAAAACTGAAAAGGTAACATGCCTTCTTGCTGTCTACTGTCTTGAGCACTCTTCCCTTCACTCTTCATCTGCTATTCCCTCACCCATTAGACCTGAGCTTAGATATTCTTCATTTGGGAAACCTCCTGACTCCTCCAAGGCCAGGTTAGGAGTCTCTACTCTGTATCCATAGCACTTTATCCATACACAGTAATTATAAGTGTTCATGACATTTTCTTAAGTTATCTGTCTCTCTACTCAAAGACCAGGATATTGTTTTTCTTATTCATTGTTATATTCCCAGATCAGACACAGTGTTGGCAAATGGGAGGTTTTCAATAAACATTTACTGGAAGGTCTCCAACTGTGCTGAAAGGATTCCCACACTCTGGAACTAACCTGCAGTTTGCTTTCATTACATTCTTATGGCAAAGACCTTCCTGAGGCACTATTTTAATACAATTTTCTGATTAGCACCTTATGTCTTCTTTCACTTCCCCAATCCAATTTCTAGCTAAATATAGTAATTTAAAAAAAACAGTAGTCTCTATAAAATGTAAGCTCAACTGTTTTTTGAATTCCTAAAAACTTACCACTTGCAATTCTACATTGAGTTAAAAAAACTCAATAGTAATGAACTTCCTAGTTCATCATTATAAAACTATTTGCTACATAGTAAATCTGATTGATATTAGGTGTATTTTACACTGTCCAAAAGATGACATAATTATTGAAACACCTGATTTCATTATTCATCACTAATTGAGCCCAGAAAGCACAAACTCCCAAGGGAATCGTCTCATCACTTGTCTGCTTTAAGAGCCCAGCTGTACTAATCACCAAGGTACATGGGAAAACATTTGACATCAAAATGGAAGCAATACTATCCATCTAGAAAAAAATAAACTACGGTTAAAATTTCATACATACAGATAAGTAAGACATCCATTCCTATCTTATAGATCATCATAATCCTAGCTTTGTCTATCCTTTTGGAGGACAGTTTTTCAACCTCTGGGCACTGTGTCCTTATCTGAAAGGTAGAGAAGTCTAACTTTTCAAGCTTTAAGCTGGTGACACTTAGCTTAGGCTAGGTTCTACCAAAGGCAAAAACTAAAGGTTTCATCAAGGAGAGTTTCAATGTCTTCTTTCCTCAAGGAGAGCTGTTCTACTTCCATTAACCTATCCTTCAGAAAAATTTACACAAGTATGTCAAGATGTATGAAGAAAGATTCTGTTTAGGTCTGTATATAATAGATTTAAAAAATACGCACCTAAATGTCTATTACTAGATAGATGGTTAAATATACTAAATTTATACTTTTTTTTTTTTAACCTCACCCAAGGACATTTTTCCATTTTTTGTTCAGATATAGTGGGAGAGAGAGAGAGGAAGAGAGAGAGAGAGAGAGAGAAACATCGACATGAAAGGAACACATGGAGTGGTTGCCACCCACACAACCCAACCAGGGCCAGGGACAAACTGCAACTGAGGTACGTGCCCCTAGCAGGAACCGAACCTAGGTCTCTCTGGACCGCAGGCCGATGCTCTAACTGCTGAGCCAAACTGGCCAGGGCTAAATTTATACTATTCTTACAGACTATTATGCAATCATTATAAAAATAAAACTAGGTGTACTAACATAAAAATATGTCCATGATGTATTGTTGAAATTTTTTTTTAAGGTAAAGAATATCACAAAGAATAAGACTCAAATTTTAGTTTAAGAAAAGGAAAGAAATAGAAAATAATGAAAAAAGGGGGCAAGAGAAACAAAAGAGAAATGAGAAAATCTTAGGCTCACAGGTATAAGCATATATGTTTGTATATATAAAAAGAATTTTGAAGACTACACAATAATCGATTAATACTATTTTATATCTGGAAAGGTATTTTCACTTGATATCTTTTTTGTACCATTCAAATTTTCTTTTAATAATAGGCATGCATTGTTTTAAATTTAGAGGTATAATGATTAAAGTGAAACTCTTTAAAATCAAGTTTTTTAAAGAACAGATCTGACTGTTAACTTAGGTAAAGAATCAATCCCTAAATTATTCACCCATATTTCATATTTCCTAAATTAAAATTCACTCACAAGAACATAAACATTTTTAACATTTCAAAAAAAAATGTAAAAGGTACATACAAAGTTGTGTGTTGTAAGTGGAACATTCTCCAATACTTCTACATGCAATTCCTCTCCAGTAAGCCAGGAAATATCAGTGTCCCAGCCAATTGGCTTCTTCTCTCTAAAAAGTGTAGACACAAGCCTTTCTTGGTTATCACACCTAAAAATCTTCATATACCTCATGCTGAAGACATGAAAACTGGTTATTGAGGGGCTAGTAATGGTGAGGGAGGTTTGGCTCCCTGGTCTTCCATCGTTAGAAATTTAAATGGCAATAAATTAATTTTTAAGTTTACCCCAAATAAATGTATCACTCTTGGACAAACAGCAGGGTAAAGAGATGTACTCTTTTCTTCAAGTCAGCTCCAGAAAAGACCTACAACAGCAGAAAATGGATTGTTCCTAGCATCCAAAAAAAAAAAAAAAAAAAAATTTTATAGGTACGGATATATCTATCCAAAGAAAAAGAGTACTCAAGGGACAATATGCCCCAAAAAAGATAATTTTAAAAACAGAACTCAATATTGGGAGGTGGGGGGTATCTTGGCATAATTTTAAATGCTTTCTGAAGAAAAATAGTTCAATATAAAAGTTAATTCGATACAGCTTTTGTGAAACTACGAGTCTGTATTAAAAATAGGAGCCACTATTCAAATAAGTCACATTCTAAACGGTTCAAAATTTTAAGAATCACATATTCCAAATAAAATCATTTGATTAGAGTAACACACTATTGTCACACACAAAATTATCTAATGTTAACTCCTCAAAGGGCCCACAAGATTTCTTTAGGCTAAACTTAAAAAAAAGTTAATATTGTTTTCTAAAAATGATCTTCAATTCCCTAGGTTTAGGTAAAGATTCTAGAAAAATCCCCAAAGTTTAATGTCTGCGTTTTATTTTTCTTTTTTTAAACACAATTTCATATCACATACAAACCATACCCATCCTGAATTCTGTACACAGCACAGCACTCGGGGATCAGACCTCTCATTGTCAGCGCTTTCTTTAGACTGTCGCGGACTGTGACTCCACACCTTGCAGGTATCTACAGTGTCATAAATGCATGATATGAGGTAAAGAAAATAAATTATGTTTTTCACATCATTAAAAAAGATAACTTACCTTCATAATATAATACCTTTAATGTCACATGAATTACTATGTCAGATACATTATTTCTATAGCTAACTTAACATTAAAGGAAAATTATAAAAAATATCTATTATTATTCACCAACTTAAAATAAGTTTTAGTTTATTAAAATTATAAATTAAAAAAAATTATTTTTATTTATTTATTTCAGATAGAGGAGGAGGGAGGAAGAGAAATATCGATGTGAAAGAGACACATGACCCCGACCAAGGCCACGAAACCAAGTATGTGCCCTTGACCGGAATCAAACTCAAGACTCTTTGGTCCGCATGCCAACGCTCTAACTGCTGAGCCAAACCGGCTAGGGCAAAATTATAAAGTATTTTAAACATATAAAAGAGAATAGAAAATATAACAGATTCCTATTGTACCTACCACTGAGGAACAATTGATGTCAACATTTAAAGCAAAATCAGCTTTGATTTAACATTGTTCAAAGCTAAAAATACTGTGTAATCCTTCAATCACATTGACAGTCCTTAAGAGAGGTATTACTGATTCTAAACATAGGAGAAAAAAATATTTGTCTTAATGTGTATAATTGATATTTGTTGTTTAGTTGCCTAGCACTCCTATTTCCTCAGGGAACCTGCCCTTGCCTAAAAATTCCAGTACGAGAGGCTCTCAATCAAGGGTCACTACTTTTCTGACATAAGCTGGCTAATCAGTGTCCCATTTCCCTGGCAACAGCAATTGATCCAGGACCAGATTTATGACCTCAACACTACAGGAGTTCTTCACTAAACTGATAGATGGTCTCTGGTTGAGAGACGTTCCTCTTTCTACTCTAGTGACAGTGCGCTAGTGACAGTGTGCCAAGCCGACAGAAATCTGGAGCCCCCAGTGGCCACCTTTTCCACTGCAATAAGAAAATCTGGAAGCGGAATGAAGCTAACCTGGGGAGAAGTAGAAAAGACACTGGGAGTGGAGAGGGAAGGGCCACTAGAAAGAGAGATAAAAAGACTTTTTCTGTATATTTGAAGTCACCCCTTTTTCTGTATATTTGAAGTCACCCCTTTTCCCCATGCCCCCACCCTTGGTGAATCTGAATAATGTATAACTGAGAGAGAACTGACAAACACAATGTGGACGCAAGTGGAGCAGCAGGAGTGCAAGTTGGGCAGTTTTAATGATGGGGGGGGGGAGGGCAGGGAGCGGAGGCAGAGGGAATACGTTAGTTAATAACAATAAAATGAAAGGTTCCATTCTTTTAAATCACTAAAGTACTTAGCAAATAAAGTTTCCAAAGAAACTGGAAATATTTATGCTAGAGGGGCAAAATAGAGTAAGGGTAGAACATAAGGCAGCTGAATTTAAATAGTATAGAGAAAGGGGAAGAATCCAGAAAACCAAATTAGGAGCTATGATTAGAAAAAAGTAGGATGCCAAATTGAGCTCAACTTTCAGGACATTATGTTAAGTGAAATAAACCAATTTAAAAAAGACAAATACTGTATAAGTCCACTTATACAAGGTACCTAGAGTAGTCACATTCATAGAGACGGAAAATAGAATGATGGTTGCCAGGGTCTGGGGAAGGGGAGATGGGGAGTTGTTCAATGGATATAGAGTTTCCATTTTGCAAGATGAAGAGAGTTCTGGAGATTGGTTGCACAATAATGTGATATATTTGACACAGCTAACTACATTTAAAGTTTTGCAATTTTGTAAAAAGTGAAACATACATGTAGCATATGATCCAGCCATTTTGCTCCTATTTACCCAAGAGAAAAGAAAGCATATGCCAATGGAAAGATTTGTACAAAGATGTTCTTAGTTGCTTTATTTGTAATAGTCCAAAACTGAGCATAACCTAAATGTCCACCAATAGGTGAATGGTTAAACAAATTGTAGTCTATTACTACAAAAGAATGCACTACTGACACAACTGTAGTTTACCAGTATAGTGGTGTACTGTACTGTACAAAAATAGGTTTGCCTGGATCAAAGAGAGAAATTTACATTTGTAATTCTGATAGGTAACTTTCAAAATTTGCTTCATAGGTCTAGCTTAATTTTACACTGCTACCAGCAATGTATGAGATGCCTGTTTACCATTACCTCATCAGTGGAGTGTGTCAGTCTTTTGGACTTTTGCCAATATCATAACTGAAGACTATCTTGGCAGATTTGAGTTTGTTTTTCTCAAGTGAGGTTGAACACCACCTTTTCTTATGTTTGAAGGCCACTTATATTTATATTTTTATGAACTGTATTTCTTGTCCTTTGCCCATTGTTTTATTGAGCTGTTGGTCTTGATCTCAGTTTTTCAGAAGCACTCTATATAATACATGCCTGTTACATGAGTTGCAAATAGTTTTTCCAAGTTTGCATTTGTCTTTTGACTGCTTATAATGTGTTTGTTTTGCCATCTAAAAAGGCTCTTAGGCCTGGCTGGTGTGGCTTAGTGATTGAGCACCAACCCATGCACCAGGAGGTCGCCGGATCGATTCCCGGTCAGGACACATGCCTAGGTTGTCGGCCAAATCCCCAGTGTGGGACATGAAGGAGGCAGCCAATCGGTGTTCTCTCTCATCAATGTTTCTGTCTCTCTCACCCTCTCCTTTCCTCGCTCTCTCTAAAATCAGTAAAGAAAAAAAATTTGTAAGTAAATAAATGAAAAGGCTCTTAGTCTTATGTAGTTGAATTTACTATTTTTTCAAATAGTTTCCAGATTTTGCATCATAGTTATAAACGCCTTCTTCACTTGAGGTTATAAAAGTTTGCTTTGCTGTCTTTTAGTTATTTTATGGTTTGTCCCTTCTTTTGACATTTAAATCTTTGATCTATTTGTAGTTTACCCTAGTATATAGTATGAGATATGAATGATCCCCCCCCCCTATTTTTCTGGATTGGATCCAGTTGTCCCAACATTTATTATTTAAAAGTTAATCTTTACCTTATTTCAGATGCTTCCTTTATTTCATTCTAATTTCCTTTATGTGTTGGCATCTTTTTTGGTCTTTTCTGTTCAATAGATCTGTAGTCTATTGAACAGGCACTGTTATGAAGGAGTAAATAGTACAAAATACACACACACACATATATATATATACACACACACACATATATATACACACACACACACACACATAGATAGATAGATATCTCAACCTACAGCAGTGGAATGAAGGAGTGATTGATGACTTTCCCTTGGTGATAGAGTGCAAAACCAATTTTTTGCCTTCTGATGAAATATACATACACCTTGGAATCAACCTATGTAGAATATCATGAGGGAGCATAGCTATATTTGAAAATGGCATTGCAGAATTGCATGAGGGAAATTATCAAAGGAACTGAGCCATAGATAGTCCCAGTTCATTGAATGCCTTGTATGCCATATGGAATTTGAATTTTGCCTGATAAATAATGGGACAATTTTCAGCAGACTAATGAAATGTGAGATTATGTTTGGAGGTTCTAAATCTGAGTTCAGTGGGCTCCTCGGCAATCCACGCATGGATTTCAGATTCCATGACCCTCACCCACCCACCACCAGATTTTATGTCAGAGAGTATCTGAGTTTTTCACCAGATTCTTAGAAGTCTGACACATACAAAAGTTAAGAATACCTTCTTTAGAAAGATATTTATGATAACATGGGATAGGATAGATGGGGTTTAAAACTAAAGATAGAGTTGCCAATCAAGAAGTTTTTGCATTAGAGGAGACAGAATATGAGTAGCAGAAGGAAAGTGAGCATTCCCTTCAGTTCATTATTTCTGGAAGGTATGGCTAATTCGCAATAGTTATGTTCTGTAAAATTGTTGCGAGCACTGAATTAGTGAATACTGAACCATTATTTCTAGGGTAAAAACAGGATTACTATTATATAAATGAGCCAAAGATTGTCTCTGTATATTGACCCTTAGGTTGTTTATATTTTTTTAGTCTGCTGGGGCCCATTAGCTTAAAAGCCCGCTGGCATAGGACAATTGTTTACAATATGCCTAGAACAAGAAGGTACAGTGTCACCTTGTTCAACCTCAGCTACAAAGGTGTGCACTGGGCTCACTGCTCTGCACATTTTCGCAAAAGCATCGCAAGTACTGGTTTTGGGGTTGCAAATACATTTTAGCAAGTGGATAAATTGCAAATGCAGAATGCACAAATAAAGAGGATTAACTATAGCAATCCAGTCTCATGAACACTTCCAATGATGAGCCTACTCCTTCATGAGAAACTTTTCCCTTGCTGGATATTTTCTTTGGTGAAGTACCTGTTCAAATCTTTTGCCCATTTTTAAATGGAGTTATTTTCTTGTTATTGAATTCTAAAAGCTCTTTATATATTCTGAATACAAGTTCTTGATCAGATACATGTTTTGCAAAGATTAATAGTCTGTGGCTTCTCATTTTATTCTCTTAACACTATATTTTGAAGAGAAGTTTTTAATTTTGATGAAGTCCAATTTATCAGTAAAGTAGTCCCACCTTCTCCATGGTTCACTTTCTGAGGTTTTAATTACCCATGGTCAACTGTGGTCCAAAAATATTAAATGAAAAATTCCAGAAATAAACAATTCAAAAGCTTGAATGAGAAATGGTTCTGAGCATGATAAAATCTTGTGCAATCCCACTCTGTCCCACTAGGGACATTCATTATCCCTTTGTCCAGTGTATCCTCACTATATACACTACCCACCTGTTACTTAGGCATCTTGGTTATCAGACTGTTAATGGTCCCACTATCCCAGTACTTGTGTCCAAGTAACCCTTATAGTACATTCCCTACAGCGTATAGTCTAACACTGTCACAATGTCATTCAGCTCACATGATCTCATCATGTAGATATTGTATAAATTCACATCATCACAAGAAGGGTGAATAGAGTACAATAAGATACTTTCAGAGAGAGAGACTACATTCAAATAACTTTTATTACAGTATATTGTTATAATTGTTCTATTTTATTATAAATTATAATTGTTAATCTCTTACTGTGTCTAATTTATAAATTAAACTTCATCAACAACCACTGGGAGTCTTGGAATATATGCCCCTTGGATAAGAGGGATGACTGTCCATTATGGATTATGCTTTTTGCATCAAATTTAAGAAATTACTGCCAAATTTGAGGCCACAAAGATTTTATCTTATGTTTTCTTCTACAAATTTTGTCATTTTAGGTTTAATTCTTAATTTTCATTCTTTCCTGTGTTTAATTTCCTTCTTAAAGAAAATTTTTGCGCCCTGGCCAGTTTGCTCAGTGGTTAGAGCGTCAGCCTGTGGTCCAGAGAGACCCAGGTTCAGTTCCCGCTAAGGGCGCATACCTCGGTTGCAGTTTGTCCCCAGCCCTGGATAGGTCATGTGGGTGGCAACCACTCAATGTGTCCCTTTCATGTCGATGTTTCTCTCTCTCTCTCTCTTCCTTTCTCTCCCTTCCACTCTGTCTGAATAAAAAATGGAAAAATGTCCTTGGGTAAGGATAAAAAAAAAAAAAAAGAAATTTTTGGTAGCTCCTTCAAGCAGAACCTGGGAGAGGTAAACTCCTTATCCAGAAAGGCCTTTATAGTACCTTCACTCATAGTACCATGCTAGCTAAACTTACAGTTTAGCTGAGTGATTTAAAGGCATCTCTTAGCACTTTGTCTATATTATTCTATTGTCTTCTGGTTTCTATAGCTGCTATTAAGAAATTTTCTTGACAATCTAATTGAAATTCTTTTTTTTTTAAATTCCTCATCTGAGGATATTTTTCCATTTATTATCAGACAGAGAGGGAGGGAGGGAGGGAGGGAGGGAGGGAGGGAGGGAGGGAGGGGAAGAGAGATAGACAGAGAGATACATTGAATGTGATAGAGCCACTGGTTGCCTTCCGCACAACCCAACAAGGGCTGGGGACAAACCACAACTGAGGTACGTGCCCTTGACCAGAATCGAACCCGCAACTCATTGGTCTGCGGACTGATGCTCTAACTGCTGAGCCAAACCGGCCAGGGCTTCATTATCTACTTTTTATCTTATCCACTAAAATTTTCAAAATAAATTTTCATAAAGCATTTCAACACAGCTCTGTAGTATTGCTGTAACTATCTTGACATATTGAAATTTTATTTAAAGTGCTACTTCCTCAAATCAGCATCAATACTATGTTCAATAGTTTCCCCTCCCCTAGAGACAACTGTTTCATATTTCTAGTTTTCCTTTATTATGTTGTTTGAATTTTTCTAACTCTATTATAAAAATTTTCAAACATACAGAACATTAGAAGAAATGGTACAATTAACACTAAAATTCTTTATACTTAGATTCAAAATTATTTTTTCATATTCGTTTTATTTCTCCTCACATTTTGTTTCTCATCATACTAACTGACAATAATATCTAAATTGACTGAGAGAAGTCAGAATAGTAGTTACTCTTGAGGGTGGGTATTGAATTGGGGAGGGGATACAGGAGAATCCTTTCAAGCACTAGAAATGTTCTATATCTTAATCTGCATGACAGTTACATTTGTAGAAAGTCACTGAACTATACACTTGAGTTATATTTCAAAAAAGAGGGAGAGTTTCAGGCATGATGATAATGCACCCCTAAATATTTACACATGTGCTTCCTAAGAATAAAGACATTTTCCCATATAACAACTATTATCACACTTTAAAAATTAATAATTCCATAGTAACAGTCAATATTAAAAAATTTCCAAGTCTCAAGAATGCCTTTTACAGTTCTTCCCCCTCTAGTCCCAAACCAGTATCACACACTATATTTAGTTATGTCTCTTTAGTATTACTTAGTGTAGAATAACTCCCAACCTTTTTTTTTTTTTTTATCCTCACCCGAGGATATTTTTCCATTTTTTGTACAGATAGAGTGAGAGAGGAAGGGAGAGAGAGAGAGAAACATCGACGTGAAGGGACACATCAAGTGGCTGCCACCCGCACGACCAACCAGGGCCGGGGACAAACTGCAACCAAAGTACGTGCCCTTAGCGGGAACCGAACCCGGGTCTCTCCAGACCGCAGGCCGACGCTCTAACCGCTGAGCCAAACTGGCCAGGGCTCCCAACCTTTTTTTAAAAACTTTTTGATTCCAGAGAGACAGGGAGGGGGAGAGAGAGAGAGAGAGAGAGAGAGAGAGAGATACACTGACTGGTTGATTGGCTGCCTCCCCTAAGCACCCTGACTGGGGATCAAACCAGCAACCTAGGTATGTGCCCTGACCAAGAATAGAACCTGAGTCCTCTGGTGTACAGGACAATGCTCCAACCAAGTGAGTCACACCAGCCAGGACAATCCCCAACCTCCATGATACTGAGGTGGTTTGTCTTAGACCAGCGGTTCTCAACCTGTGGGTCGTGACCCCTTTGAGGGTCGAATGACCCTTTCACAAGGGTCGCCTAAGACATAACAGTAGCAAAATTACAGTTAGGAAGTCACAACAAAAATAATTTTATGGCTGGGGGTCACCACAACATGAGGAACTGTATTAAAGGGTCACAGCATTAGGAAGGTTGAGAACCACTGCCTTAGAATAAGGGTTAACGGTAAGTCCCAGGGTCTCTCCAAGAACTAAAACTCAGCTTCAGATGATCTCACTCACTGGTTGGATTGAGGTGACTGGACTTGGTTTGTCCCTCCAGCTGCCTGGCAGAAATTCTCCTGTATAGGAAGTTAATATCACATTAAACTGCTGTCTTAGAGGATGTTCACATTCTGATTTTACGTGTTTCCTCATGGTGCTTCTCTCCCCGTGTTTCTTATAAAATGAAAGGTGCAGAAACTTGACATTCAACTTGTAATCATTTTTAGCAAGAATACTTCATAGATGATAACTGTCACCCACTAACTTTTCTTTCCCTCCCACCCCCTCTCCCTTTTCTTTTTTAAATTGAACTTATTGGGGTGACATTGGTTAATAATCAGTATATTGTATTGTGTTCATACCCCAAATCAAGTCTCCTTCCATTACCATTTATCCCCCCATTACTCTCTTCTACCTCCCCCTACCCCCCTTTCCCTCTAGTAATCACCATACTATTGTCTGTGTCTATGAGCTTTTTTGTTTTTGCTTAATCCCTTCACCTTTTCCACCCAGCCACCCAAAAGCCCCTACCCTCTGAAAGCTGTCAGTCTGTTCTCTGTATCTATGAGTCTGCTTCTATTTTATTTGTTAGTTTATTTTGTTCATTAGTTCCACATATAAGTGAAATCGCATGGTACTTGTCTTTCTCTGACTGGCTTATTTCACTTAGCATAATATTCTCCAGGTCCATTCAAGCTGTTGCAAAAGGTAAAATTTCCTTCTTTTTAAAATTTGAAGACCACCTGAGCGTTTTATTTTGTTCCCTCTTAGGAGTCGAATCCAGCTATTTCTAAATCTTCAAACTCACTAAGGGTAGACTGTTTTCTAGTATACTTTATAAATTGGGATTTTGAGCATGTCAGGGAGGGCAGTCTCTCTGTGAATTCCAGGAGATCTAAATGGGCCAGGGAGGGTTTGCATTTGCTTTTGTTCTGTGCTTGCGTGCAATTACCCTTCTAGGACCAGCAGTTATGTTAGTATCTTGGGTTCAGGGAACCAAACACTATGATGAGACCAGGTCTATAGTTAAGAGTACACAAGGTAATCTTTAACCTTTATCTGGAGCCCTGGCAAAGACAGGTAAGTTTCACTGAAGGTAAAGCTCTTCAAGGCTCAGCTTTATGTAAAGATGTGAGTCCCAACTATGTCTGTGACACTGGCCGAAGACCTAGCCTTGTGTTCCCACACACTGACTTTCAGATTCCTTTGTTGCACAGGGTGAAAAATGGACTTCACTGGAGGTCACTATAGTACAGATGGGCAAACTCTTTCCATGAAGAACAAGCATTACTACTGATGCTGTCTGAGAAAACTACTTTGACTTTAGTTGTATTTGGAAATCAAATGGTTTGGGTTAATATCAAAGATAACCATATACATTATAAAAAGTAGTGATTTATATAGGTGCATTATTTACTAAGTCTACTGACAGTACTTGTTGCACTTGAGGATTACAAACTATCCAAAATAATTTTGCAGACTTCTTTGCTCTAAATGTTAACTTACAGAGCACTCTGTTCCAACTGTGATACTAATGACAACAATCAAAAGTTATGTAAACAAGAGAAAAAAATAAATCCAAATAGAGATTTTTCAAGGGTGAAGAATGAATTTTACCCAATAGATGTTAGACAACAAGCAAGCACTAATCTTAAAATTACGACTGATTCTGAACTGTTACATAGACTTGAGGAATATGGTTCAAATTTGATAGGTAGGTTTAAATGTCAAAACTGACACTAAAAACAATACTATCTGTTACAGTTAAGAAACACAGACTTTGACACCAAATAATTGTTTTTTTCCTCCTTTGTTTGAAATAGATGCTTCAATTGCATGATCACTGGAATGAAGTAATAATATATTTCATTTTCAACAACTGGTCTTTCTGAAAAATACAAAGAAAAGGCAGCAATGGTATTAAAAGTAGACTCACCACTGTCCTCTGTTTGTTGGGCAGGAAGACTCTAACAATAGGTTTTTGTGGTGACTTAGGGTTGCTCCGTGACACATCTGTGGGATTTTGAAAAACTGAAAGAGATGAAGGTAGCACTGAAAGGCTAGAAGAGGAAGAAGATGTAACGGTGTCCGTTGATGCAGAGCTAGAAACAGAAAAATCAGTTCCATTCCCCAGGGATTCCAATAACTGTTGTTCTCTTTGTTGGAGGGCATCTAGCTTGCTGGTGTATTCTTCATAGGCCTATAAAACAAAGTAGACTTACATTGAATCTGTAATGTAAGTAGACTTACACTTTTCCTGACAGTAACAAAAGGAAATATAAAATTTAAGTTCTTGTTTATAATCTCTTTATAATTTAGCTAACAGGGTTTTAAATTATAAGTCAGAAAATAAGAACTGGAAGTACTATATGAATACTTTTACATTTAAATTGGTAAATCTTTTGTTATAAGATACTACATTACATTGAGAAACTGATACGCACATAAAAGAGACATCTAGAATATCCACGAGGATTAAAGAAGATAGTATAAAATACTATACTACATCAAGGACAAGTACCCTCTTCATTAAAATAGTTTTCTCCTAAAAGAGTTGTAGGCACACAAAGTTTTCACACTCCTCTCCCCCAGCTCAAAGAATAGACAAACAAGTTGAAAAGGAGATGAGGTATTATTACATCTGTAAAAAAAAAACAAAAACCAAAAAAAGACTGAGGTACACGGTGCCAGACTTTACCATTACCACGAAAACCTCCTCAATATGGCTCAGAAGATATATAACTACCATAATTCTTTCTGAAATAGTTATAAGTTCAAATGCTTTATTCTTCTCACTATGTATCTCTAATGACCTCTTTCCTCGTCAAATACTGCTTAGAAAATAAAATTTTATTTGAAAAGGTGGCTTCGCACTGCAGTCAAGAAATCTGGGTTGCCTTGGCTGGTTTGACTCAGAGGTTAGAGCGTCAGCTCGGACCAATGAGTAGCAGGTTCAATTCCAGTCAAGGGCACGTACCTCGGTTGTGGTTTGTCCCTGGCCCTGGTGGGGTCATGCAGGAGGCAACCAGTCGATGTGTCACTCTCACATCAATGTTTCTCTCTCTTCTTCCCTCCCACTCTATCTGATGATAAATGAAAAAATATCCTCAGGTGAGGATTAAAAAAAAAAAAAAATTCTGGGACAACTGTCCATTTTGACTAAGGCTATAAGGTCAAATGACCACATACATCATTTCTAAAAGTAAAAAGAATCTTGAAAACAGAATGAAATTGAAAATAAAGAGATGGAATAAACTGAAATACACACGTCTATGGTTGTTTAAGGCAGCGGTAATCACCTTCCCCCACACCATTTCTCCTAACACCCCAAACAGATGCAGTACTGCAAACATTTATGAAAGACTATAGGGAGAATAAGAGATTTAGAGGTGGCAGTTCTCATCTTTCAGTGAGTTCATTATTAAGCTGCTGAGAAGCAGATGAATGTATTTTATTTGTGTAAGTGCTGTATGTAAAAAATAAACAAAGAACATTCTCTTTTTAAAAAAACTTTTCCCCTTTATTGATTTTAGAGAGAGAGGAAGCGAGAGGGAAAGAGACAGAAACATTGATGAGAGAGAACATCATTTGGCCACCTCCTGCATGCTCCCCTCTGGGGATTGGGCCCACAACCTGGGCATGTGTGCTGACCGGGAATCAAACCAGTGACCTCCTGGTGCATGGGTTGATGCTCAACCACTGAGCCATATCGGCAAGACAACAAAGAACATTCTTGATATAAGATTAAAGAGCCCTGGACAGTTTTGCTCAGTGGTTAGAGTGTCAGCCTGTGGACCAGAGAGTCCTGGATTCGGTTCCCACTAAGGGCACATACCTCAGTTGCAGTTTGGCCCTGGCCTGGGTTGGGGTTGTGTGGGTGGCGACCAGTTGATGTGTCGCTCTCATATTGATGTTTCTTCCTCTCTCTCTTCCCCCCCTTCCCTCCTGCTCTATCTGAAGATGAATGCAATAAATAAATAAATAAATAAATAAATAAATAAATAAATATTTTAAAAAAAGAATGAAGAAGGAAGGAGGTCTTAAAAAGTTAGCATTTAGGTGTATAGAGTAAGTGGGAAGAAGAGTATAAGATAAATTGTGTAACAAAGTAAGGATGTAGGAAATTTTAAGACATAGAGGAAAAACTATAGACTAGTAGAGCTGAATGTCATACAATACCTGTAAGGGATCAATGTATATTTGTAGAATTTAAACGAAGACTAGGAACACAGGAACACAAACAATAAGACTGAAAAAGTGTCTAAACGACCAGATTACAGAGAATATATGTATCATGCTATGAAGACTAAACTTTACTATACAAGCAAGGAAGAATTATCAAAGGTAAAAGAAAATGAAGAAAATACCACAATGAACTACTGAGTTAAATAGCCTTCTTCTTTACAACCTATTAGGTGCCCTATCCTGATCCTGAAAAGTTTCATAGCATTCCAGGGAATAAGACCCAAATCATTTCAAAATTTTCTGAGCTATAGTTCTATATAAATTTCAGTTCCAAAAGCTAATTATTTAATGGCTACTCTTTCAATATGCTCCACTTATTGGGCCTTCAATAAATATATATTGAGCATACATGTGCCTGGCACCGTTTGGGGCTCAAACTACAAAAATAAAGACCAATGCAATTCCTACCCTTTGCAGATTGTAAACGTGCAGTCTGGGAGACAAAAGTTCCTCCTTGCATAGATCAAATATTCTTATTTATTGGGCAGCATATTCACTATACAAAATCAGCCTCAGGAAAAGTAATAAATGTAAACAATAAAATTTCTGAATGTTATTTATCAAACTGTCATCTTTAACGTTTGAAAATACAGTTCCCTACATTGTGGGTTACAAACTATTATTTCACTGCATTTATCAGTACCTCTTCTTTTTCTTACGTATAAAACATTTACTTATTCTACTCCTCTCCACTGTCACAGCTGCAATCTACCAAGGCCTACCTTGTTTTGTACCTGGCTTGGCTCATTTCACCCCATTATCCTGGCTGCATTCCATGTGGATGTTGATTACTCTCTTAACACTCTTGCCTTAAAGTTCTTTATACCTCGTATCTCTACAGGCATTTATTCCCATACCAACTTCGAGATCCAGACCTATACTATCCAGTTCTTTACAAAAGAATTCCAGTGATGTTGAGATCTCAACTTGGAACCTCCCACACAGCTATGCACACACACTTCTCCCTCCCACCTTCTTAAGCTTCCATCTCACTACCACATTAATGTGTCGAAGGTCAACAATAATCCCTTAAAGTTTATCAGATTTAGGTCTTTGTTGTCTTACTTCCCCTAAGTAATAGCAACTTACTATTTCAACAATGCCACTGGTAACATCTTAAGATTCTCTGGCTAATTCTCATTCTTTTTTTTAACCAATTTGCTTGTTAAATACCAATCTTGGGTAAATCCTAACACTCAATTATTCCCTTCTTTCTCTCAGGTTACCAAATATTGGAGGAGAAAATAAAAATAAAATAAAATAAAATAAAAACTAGACTAATTAGTTCCATTATCAATTCACAAAAATTAGTGCTTCAAACTGCCTAGAAAATGTTAATTATTTTTAATATCATATTAAATTTTTTTTTTATCCTCACCCGAGGACACTTTTTGATATTTTGTTCAGATAGAGTGGGGTGGGGGGGGAGAGAGAGAGAGAGAGAAACATCAACATAAAAGGGACACATCGAGTGGTTGCCACCCACATGACCCAACCAGGGCCGGGGACAAACTGCAACCAAGGTACGTGCCCTTAGCGGGAACTGAACCCGGATCTCTCTGGACCGCAGGCCGACGCTCTAACCGCTGAGCCAAACCGGCCAGGGCTCATATTAAATTCTTTACAACAGTTATTTCAACCTTTTCCATACTTTTCTGGCTCCTAACTTCATTCCCCTTCCCTACAATATTTAATTCACTCAGAATATAGCAATACCTTCAAATTTACTCTGAAGATCAAAGCCATTAAATAAAAGCTTCCTCTGCCACTCTTCCAAGCCATTCTCCACATTTTTCCTCTTTTCTCAATATAGTACCAGCACCGGGTGTTTACAGCCTCTGCTATGGTGGCCTTGGTATATCATGATCCCCATTTTCTCTTATTTCGTCCAACTTTCCCTTTTCCTCTGTTTTCTTACCCTACAAATATGAGCAAGTCCTCCTATATCACTGAACTGCTACCACCATCAACAAAATTCCTTTGGTTCAAGATGTTGCAGATTCCAGATACTTCTTCAGGAGACAGCTTTTCCAAAACCCCATTCCTTCTTATCAAAATCCTACTCATTTTTCAAAGTTTAATTCAAAGCTCTCCATGGTAAAAATTTAAAAAAAGGAGTTAGTCTTTCTCTTCAGCTTCTTTAGAGTATCACCACATTCTTCTTTATATGACTATTTTCGCCTCATTTGTAAAATATTTTGAGGATTAAATGAGATAATGTAAGTAACAAAATTATTAGAGCCTACCACATAGCAAAAACCAAATAAATATTTTTATTAGTTGCAATAAGTAGTACTAGTAATTCTTGTTATGGTTATTACTGTTATTACCATATTGCTTAGCTGAATTCTTGGCATGACTCTATTAAACTGTAAGTTGAGGGCACAAGTCATGTCATTTATTTTTGACCTAAAAAAAATAATCAAAAACACTTAATATTATTAAGATGACTCCTCAAATTGATCTACAGATTCAATACAATCCTTATCTAAATCTCAGTTGGCTTCTTTACAAAAATGGACAAACTGATCTTAAAATTCACATGGAAGGGCAAAGGACTCAGAATAACCAAAGCAATTTTGAGAAAGGGCAAAGTTAGAGGATTTACATTTCTTGATTTCAAAAGTTATTATAAAACTATAGTAATCGAGACTTGTGGTACTGGAATAAGGATACGCATATAGAACAACAAAAGAGAATCAAGAGTCCAGAAATAAAGTCCTAAATTTATGGTCAATTGATTTTCTATTATTTTTGCTTCTTTTTTTTTTTTTTAATCCTCACTTAAGGATATATTTCTTTTTTTTCCTTGAGAGAGAGGGAGGAATGGAGGTAGAAGAAGAGGGAAAAGAAAAGAGAGAGAGACAGACAGACAGACAGAGAGACAGAGAGATTGATCAGTTGCCTCCCATATGCATCCCAATCTGAGACCAAACCCGCAACCTAGGTACATGCACTGATGGAGAATCGAACCTGTGCCTTTTGGTGCACGGGACAATGCTCCAGGCAACTGAGTCATGCCAGCCAGGGCTCCTTTGCTTCTTTAGTACAGCCATGAAACAAAAACAGATTGCTATGTCTTCTCCTATATCTGATTGTTAGTTATCGTTTTATTCTATTTTCTGCACTGTTCCTGAGTACCTTTTGACCATTTCTGTTGTTATCAGTTCTGTTAAAAGCCTTCTTCAAATATCTGGTTATTCTTAGATGCTCATTCATATTTAAGAATAAAGACTCTAGCATGGCCGGTGTGGCTCAGTGGTTGAGGGTCAACCCATGCACCAAGAGGTCACCGGTTCGATTTTAGGTTGTGGGCCCAATCCCCAGTGCAAGGCATGCAGGAGGCAGCCAATGTTCTCTCTCATCAATTTTTCTCTCTCTCTCTCCTTCTCCTTTCCTTTCTTTCTAAAATCAATAAAGAAAGAAAGAGTTGAAGACTCTTAACTCTTTAATGCACTCCCTATAAAATCCCAGTGTACTTGCAGAAATAAAAAAGTCCATCCTAAAATTCATATGGAATCTCAAGGGATCCAAAATAGCAATCACAATCTTGAAAAGAGAACAAAGTTGCCCTGGCCAGTGTGGCTGAGTTGGTTGAGCATCACCCCATGTACCAAAAGGTCACCAGTTCAATTCCTGGGCAGGGCACTAATGGGCTGCAGATTATATCCCCAGTAGGAGGCAGGCAGGAGGCAGCCAATCAAAGTTTCTCTTTCACATCAATGTTTCTCTCTCTCTCCCTCTCTCTTCCTTTCTCTCTAAAATCAATAAAAACATATTTAAAAAAGAAGAGGAAAAAGAACAAAGTTGGAGGTCTCATATTTCCTGATTCAAAACTTGGCTTTTATTACAGTAATCAAATCAGTGTGGTAATGGCATAAAATAAGACATATAGAACAATGGAATAGAGAGCTCAGAAATAAATTCTTACATATATGGTCAAATGACTTTAGACAAGGGCATTTATCAAAATTTCCATTCAAGGGAAAGGTCTTTTCAACAAATGGTACTGGGAAAACTGGATACACAATGCAAAAGTTGGACCCCTTACATCATATACAAAAATTAACTCAACATGGATCAAAGACCTAAACATAAGAACAAAAACTATAAAACTCTTAGAAGAAAACACAGGGAAAAGCTTCACGACATTGAATTTGGCAATGACTTCTTAGATGTGACACCAAAGGCATAGGCAATAAGAGGAAAAATAGGTAAGTTAGATTCATCAAAATAAAAAAACGTTTGTGTATCAAAGGACAGTATCAACAGAGTGAAGGGGGAACCCACAGAACAGAAGAAAATATTTGCAAATTATCTATCTGATTAGAATTGATATTCAGGATATCTATTCAGAATATTTTATAAAGAACTCCTACAACTCAACAACACAAACACAAACAACCCAATTAAAAAATGGGCAAAAGGCCTGGCCAGTGTGGCTCAGTGGTTGAGAGTTGACCCATGCACCAAGAGGTCGCCAGTTCAATTCCCAGTCAGGGCACGTGCCCAGGTTGTAGGCCACAACCCCAATGAGGGGCATGCAGGAGGCGGCTAAGCAATGTTCTGTCTCACTGATGTTTCTTTCTCTCTCTCATCGATATTTCTATCTCTCCCTCTCCCTTCCTCTCTCTAAAATCAATAAAGAATTAAAATCTATAAAAAATGGGCAAAAGGCTCAAATAAACGTTTCTCCACAGAAAAATACAAATGGCCAATAACCACATGAAAAGATGCTCAACATCATTAGTCATCAGGAAAATGCAAACCAAAACCACAGAATACAACGTCACATTCACAAGGATAGCTATTATATTAAAAAAAAAAAAAAAGAAAAAGAAACCACACGCACACACAAACTAAGTTTTGGCAAGTGTGGAGTAATTGGAACTCTTATGTATTGCTAGTGGAAATATAAAATGCAGCTGCTGTAGAAAACAGTAAGGCAAGTCCTTAAAAAGTTAAATATAGAATCACCACATGATTCGCTTAATCCCAATTCCAGATATATAACCAAAGAAATAAAACCAGGAACGCAAACAAGGGCTGTGTTCATACCAGTATTATTCACAATAACCAAAAGGTGGAAACGACCAATCATCGATGGTTATCCATTGATAGATAAATGGGTTTTTTCAGTGTGGTATATGGGTGGGGTTGAGTGGTTTACAGTTGTGAGTATGTGAAACAGTTTTATCATTATATTATTTTCCATATGAACAACTGCAAATTTTCTTTTGCCTGCATATGATGGAATATTATTCAATGTTAAATAAGAAGAAATTTTTGCTCATGATAAACATGGATGAACCTTAAAGATATCATGGTGCGTGAAATAAGCCAGTTACAAAAGAACAAATATTTTATAATTCTACTTTATATGAGGTTCCTAGTATAGTCAAATTCACAGACAGAAAGGACAATGGTGGGTTTTCAGTGGGTAATAAGTAGACCTGGCTTTTCACTAAAGGGCCTTCAAATACCAGTACCCACAGGTCTTTTCCCTGGATCAACTTTCTGCAGGGAAGAATAGTATCGTTTTAGCCAGGCTCCTCTCTTCATAATATATCAAACCATAGTAAGTTCACCATTTTAACTCATTTATATGTTTATTGTTTGTAATCCTCTCCCTTGATTAAAAAACAAGCTACTTAAAGCTAGAGATTTTTGTTGATTTTTTTAAAAATTGCTATATCCCCAGAGCCTAGTAAAATATAAATGTTAACAGACACTCAATAGCATTAAATTTAATGTGTGTCTGGAACTATGCTATTTCATATTTATAAACTCAATCCTTAAATTACCACATGTGTGATATCATTCCCATTTTACCAATTCGAGGAGAGATGAAGGAAAGTTTGGTAACCTGTATGCAGACTAAGGCACAGCTAAGATTCATACACAGGGTCTGTGCAATTCCATGGTTCCTCTTAACCACTATATTATACTGCCTTCTACAGAGAAATTGTATATTGTTAGTCATGAAAATAAGAATCGATATGCTAATGATATAACCTATGAAGTATGGTACACTGTCCTAGTAATCTGAATACTAAAAAGCCTAAAGGCTGTGTGTGTGGAGAGAGCACCTAATCCCTGCTATAGTAAGATTTGGTTACTGATGCAAATGTATTATATGTCTCCCAAGACAGAGAAAGGGTTGGCCAAAAAAAAACAACCCACAAAAAAAAAAAAAAAAAAACCCAAAACGAAACAACAAAAAACAACAACTGCTGGTAAAATTGTTCTGATTAACAAAGATTTACTATTTTCCCCTGGACTATTTGCCTCCTAATGATTCCTTTGCTTGTGCTCCTCAGACATACAAGTAAAACAGACAGCATGGGATATCAAAAAGTAGACTAGCTAGTATTAAGAGGTATGAATTCTAGTCCTAGCACCTAACAGTAACTGGCAGTGTGCTCTGGGATAAGCCATATGAAGAAGAGAATAGTATACTAGCAGTTATTTTTAAACTTCCAAATTTATTTTAGAAATGCAACTTACTTTCTAATGAAATAGTGAAGATTTAACTTGCTCTTTAAAAAGATTAGATTACTAAATTAAAAATTTAGTTTAGGAGCCCATCAATCCACGCCTAAAAATCTCTGGCATATGAAGGCAAATAACAACCCAATCATTTGTAATTTAGGATTCTGTCCCTGTGTGACTAGTAATCACAGTGGAGCCAGCTTTCACAGGGACAGGCAGAATGTGGAGTGGTAAGCAGTACAGGCTGCGGGGCCTGACTGCCTAGAGTCCATGACAGCTTGCTCGCTCTGGAACCCGAGAGACTTACATGAAGAAACTAATGCCAAGAAAGCTGATCTGTGATTAGAATAGTGACTACTACCTCACAGGATTAAGAACAATGACTAACGCCATAAATTTACAATGATACTCAAGGCTTGATACAAAAGCCTCAAGGCCCTATTAAATAGTAAAGCAAAGTAATTTTGAGCTATTTAAATATTGTAAATTTTACCTTTAAGAAAGGGAAAACCAATTTGGGGGAGATCTATTCTAGAAAAAAGATATTTTACAACATTTTACCCACTTTTAAATATGGTAACTAGTATGCCGACCTCCAGAACAGAATGCTTTCTTCTCTTTTTTAAAATAATTTTTTAAATCAGGGTAAAATTTTGAAGATTATATATAATTTTTTCTTAATTTTGACATTCTCCAAATTATAAGACTACATATTTATTGTAACAAGTGGAACAAGATTAAGAAGCATAATAAAGACAAAGCTAATTCTCTCTTCCCATTATTTCTAATCCCACCCCCTAAGATAACCAATATTATCAGTATACATGTTTTTTATACATTTTTTTTTCTTTCCAAAATTACCACAGATATCATAGTCAAAAGCTTACCTCCAGATATATTGATGGTGGATTATGCTCCCCACCAAATTTGTCCAATAGCGCCTCTATATGTTCCTGTGTCAACTTAATCATTTGTTTGATATTCCACACCTAAAAAATATTTTAAAACAATTTAAACAAAAACCATTTAGGAAATGAATTAGAAATATTTCAAGATTTCTATTAAAATATTGCAGTAACTGGCAGTGATCCTTGAAATTTAGAGCTTAGAAACTTCAACATCATTTAGTATAGTGGTGTTTTTCCCTGTTATTAAACATTTTATAGTTTTTTCCTGCACTAGTAATAAAATATATTCTCGACTATAAAAAATTAAAATAATACACGAGTATTCAGAATGAACGAAAATCTCTTTTCACCGTCCCCACATTCCTGGCCCCCTGACATGCACCCTCCCCACCCCACCAAATACTTGTTTTTCCTATGGTCTCTTCTTATAAGACAAATTCCCTCTATAATGAGTTCATTGACAACTCAGGCAGCACAGTTTTATAGTTAGAATTTGATATCCTAAAATTGATTTGTTTTTCATGTTTATTAACTTCGTTGATACCAGAAACATGTTTTATTCATTTTTTGTCCCGTCATCGCTTATCTTAGTGTCTTTGTCCTAACAGGTATTCAATTAATGCTGGAGCTAAGATTTAAGCTGTCTTCAGAATAAGAGAAAACAATTACTCCTGTTCAGTTATTCTTTCTAATTAAGGGCTCTATTACCCACAGCCATTGTTTTGTTTTTTAAACCTCCATAGATAAAACTCATGTGCAGTTAGGATAAAATACCACTCTCTCATGGGATGGGAGAGAGAGAGAGAGAGAAAGGGAAAAGGGAAAAAGATTAGAATTTAGGAATGAGCATAGGGGAAATGAGACCGAACTGATTAGAATGAGATTTTTCTTGCTGGGGAGTAGAAACTATTAAGAGTAGTTAGGTAGGGCAGGGCCAAGCCACAAATAGTCTGGAAGCCAGATTTCTTCCTAAACAAAAGTAATTGTATATCCAAAGAATAAAGAAAAGTCACTATGAGCCCTAGTTGGAATTAAAAACAATGAGTCTAGGGAAAAAAATTGTTCAGATTTCCCCAGCAAAGTAAGAGATTAATACTCATAAAATTGAGATACAAAAAAGTAAGATATTATAAAGTAGAATAAGATATTGTAAAGCAAACAGTAGGTATATAGTTTTGGCCTTAAAATGCCTTCTTGGAAAAACAAGAAAATCTATTACAATAATCCTAAAAGGGAAATGAAGGAGTTAATAACAAAAACAAAAAAATTCAAGAAAGGTATCAGATTTCCTGCCCTGTTTTAATCTCTTCAATAGACCACAGAAATTACAACCAGGCAATTAACAACTGATCATTTCTAGTGATGTTAAAAATGGCAAAATTTCCTCTTCAAAGGTTAAATTTGTTTAAAAAAAGTCTAGCTCAGAAGATACCTATGTTAAAATATAAATGCAGCCCTTGCCAGTGTGGCTCAGTTGGTTGAGCGTTGTCCCGGCTACCAAAGGGCTGCCGGTTCAATTCCCAGTCAGGGCACATGCCCAGGTTGTGGATTCAATCCCCAGTCAGGGTGCATATGAAAAGCAACTAATTGATGTTCTCTGTCTCCCTCTCCCTTTCTTTCTTTCTAAAAACAATAAAAACATATTAAAAAAAATAATATATATATAAATGCAGAAAAACTGCTATGGAAGAAACTAAAGGGAAGAAATGGCAAAAAGCAAACAAAAAAACTATAACCATTGGCTCCCTCCCACCTCCCATCAAAAAGGTATCAGGTCCAGATTATTAAATGATTGGTTTCTATCAAATCTATTTTTTTTATCCTTACCTGAGGATATTTTTCTATTTATCTTCAGATAGAATGGGAGGAAAAGAGAGGGAGAGACAGAGAAACATCGAGGTGAGAGGGACACATCAACTGGTTGCCTCACGCACAACCAGGACCAGGGATGAACTGCAACCAAGGTACGTGCTCTTGACTGGAATCAAACCTCAAGACTCACTGGTCCATGGGCCAATTCTCTACTGCTGAGCCAAATCAGCCAGGGCTTTATCAAATCTTTAAAGAGAATATACTATCAATTATTAATAGGTGATTGTATATTAAAAATCTTCCAAATTCATTTTATGAAGCTAGCAAAATCTATATGCCAAACTTTCCAAAGTTAATACAAAAAACACACTACAAAATAATCCAATCTGTAAGGCTAGACAAACTTTTAAAAAATATATGTTTTATTGATTTTTTTAGAGACAGGAAGAGAGGGAGAGAGATAGAAACATCGATGTGAGGGAGATGTATCGATTGGCTGCCTCTTGCACGCCCCCTATTGGGGACTGAGCCTGCAACCTGGGCATGTGCCCTGACCGGGAATGGAACTGGGACTTCTCAGTCCACGGGACCATGCTCAATCCACTGAGGCACATGGGCTGGGCAGGACAGACAAACTTTTATAATTTAGTACTATACTACTACTACTATATACATTTTTTAATGCAAGGGTAGCCCATTCATTAGAAATACAGTCAAATAGCCCTGGCAGGTTTGGCTCAGCGGTTAGAGCGTTGGCCTGCGGTCCTGAGAGACCCGGGTTCGGTTCCCGCTAAGGGCATGTACCTCGGTTGCAGTTTGTCCCCGGCTCTGGTCAGTCGTGCGGGTGGCAGCCACTCGATGTGTTCCTTTCACATTGATGTTTCTCTCTCTCTCTCTCTCTGTTCCTCTCTCTCCCTCCCACTCTACCTGAACAAAAAAAGGAAAAATGTCCTCGGGTGAGGATTAAAAAAAAATAATAAAAAAAAAATAATAAAAAAAAAAGAAATAGTCAAATAATACTTAACAGGTCAAAGAAGAAGGAAATTACAGGACTAGTCTACTAACAGATGCCAAAAAACAAATGGTTATTATCAAAGGTAATAGTAATAATAATATTAGACATGGTCTTAAATTTAAGAAAATTGTTAACAGAATCATGGTACCAAAAGCAAGGTTAGAGTGTCAGTCCTTCAGTCAGTGGGGAAAAAGTCTGAATAATTTCTGTAAAATAGAAAACAAATATAATTACCTGGACAGGGAAATCAAAGCTAATAAAGTGTAGACCAAAATATAAGAAGAGATTTCTACTGAGATAACTCTAAAAGTTCTACAAGCTTAAAGACAACAGATCAAAAAAAAGAGCATGAGGAAATTATAAAGATGTGAAGTTTGAATCATATAGTCATTAAAATAAAACCTCAGCTGTAATGACAGATTAGAGCTAAAGAGATAATTAAATAACTAGGTGATTCAGCCCGGCTGGTGTGGCTCAGTGTAATGAGTGTCCTCCCATGGACTGAGAGGTCCCGGTTCAATCAATTCCCCAGGGCACATGCCTGGATTTTGGGTTCAATCCCCAGTAGGGGGCATGCAGGCAGTCAATGTTTCTCTCTTTCCCTTCCTCTCTCTTAAAAAAAAAAAGAAAAATGGATGAAAATCATAAATAGAATCAGTAAATCCAGAAGATAAACAGAAAATGCTCTTTTTATGTGAAGACAATATCATAATGATCTCAATTTTCCCAAGGTTAATTCAGTGCAGTACAATAAACTAAAGCCCAAGAGAAAATTCTTTCCACTGAATCTGACAATCTGACTTTAAAATTCTATGGAAGCACTGTAAAATGATAGAAGAAGACTGGTGTTACCCGATAGCAAGACATAAAGCAACAGTATGGTACAGGGACAGACAAATAGAGCAAAGAGACTGAAACTGAAGCACAGGTATTTATAAACATGGTATACGGTTTGTGCTGACATTGTAATTTAGTGGGGAACAGGATGGCCTATTAATAAATAATGCTGGGGTAACTGCTATCCCTTTGGAAAAGGTCAAATAATCCAAAAGAAAAATAAGCAAAGAATTTATGAACAGGTAGTTCACCAAAGAAAATTCAGAATACCCAATAAATACATGGTAAAATAAATGACTTCATTAGTGATCAAAGAAATACAAATTAATGAGAAACCATTTCATATCCATGAGACTGGTGAAAAATTTAGGTCTAATAACACCAAGAGTTGGTAACCATGTATAGTAGTAAGTGCTTTTCTATTCTACAGGTGGGTATAATATAAATGTTTGAGAGTAAACTGGCAATATAGTAAAGCTGAAGATGGGCATTATCCCATCATCTAGCCATTACATACTTATGTACAAAACATATTCAAAGCAGCAATGAGTATAGTACCAAAATATAGGAACCAAATCAAATACTCCCTAATAGAAAAATGGGCAAATGGATTTATTTATTTATTTATTTATTTTTATCCTCACCCGAGGATATTTTTCCATTTTTTGTACAGATAGAGTGGGAGGGAGAGAGAGGAAGGGAGAGAGAGAAAGAAACATCGACGCGAAGGGACACATCGAGTGGCTGCCACCTGCACAACTGACCAGGGCCGGGGACAAACTGCAACCGAAGTACGTGCCCTTAGCGGGAACCGAACCCGGGTCTCTCCGGACCGCAGGCCGACGCTCTAACAGCTGAGCCAAACTGGCCAGGGCCAAATGGATTTATTTGTAAAATGGCATACTATATATAAATTATATAAAATGAAGAACTAGAGCTAAATATAATTAACAAAGATGTATCTTAAAAACAAAACACTGAGTGGGGAAAAAAGAAACAAGATTTAGGATATGTGAAGATTTAAAACACGCAATCAATATTATTTATGGACATATATCCAGAGCAAAAATATAAAATTTAACTTACTGATTAATTTTAGGGGAGGGGGAGGGAGAGGGAGGGAGGAAGGGAGAGAGAAACATTGATTCTTGTTCCACTTATTTATGCATCCATTGGTTGATTCTTGTATGTGCCCTGACCTTGACATATTGGGATGATGCTCTAACCAACTAAGCTACCCAGCCAGGGCCCAAAAAGATACAAACACGCATGGGTATAATAAACACTAAATTCAGTATAGTGGTTACCTCTGAACAGAGAGAGAGGGCAGGGAATAGAATTAAAGATAATCTTTCATTACCTATAAGGTGATTTATCTGTGTTTGTAATTTTTTGTTTAAAAAAATCTGAAGCAAAT